GGAATTTGGGGGAAAATCGGGAATTGGCACTGGGGGAGCACTCCCAAACACTTCTCAATGTCGGGGGGTCAAAATTTGGGGTTAAAAGGAGAAAATTTGGGGTTTTACGGGGAGATTTGGGGGTTTTAGGGGGAATTTGGGCTGTAAAGGGCGAATTTGGGGGGGATTAGGGGAAATTTGGTGTTAAAAGGGGAGAATTTGAGGCTCAGGAATTTGGGGAGGGGTCTCAGGGATTTTTTGGGGAAGGGTCTCAGGATTTTGGGATTTTTTCCCAGGGGTTTGGAGCTCTCAAAATTTGGGTTTTTTCCCAATATTTGGGGTTTTTTTCAGGGATTTTGAGTTTTTTCCCAGGGATTTTGGGGCTCTCAAGATTTGGGTTTTCTCCTGGGGATTTCAGGGATTTTTTGGGGAAAGGTCTCAAGATTTTGGGATTTTTTCCCAGGGGTTTGGAGCTCTCAAAATTTGGATTTTTTCCCAATATTTGGGGTTTTTTTCAGGGATTTTGGGGCTCTCAAGATTTGGGTTTTCTCCTGGGGATTTCAGGGATTTTTTGGGGAAGGGTCTCAGGATTTTGGGGTTTTGTTCAGGGGTTTGGAGCTCTCAAAATTCGGGGTTTTTTCCCAATATTTGGGGTTTTTTTCAGGGATTTTGGGGCTCTCAAGATTCGGGTTTTTTCCCGGGGACTTCGGGGGATCTCAGGGGTTTTGGGGAGGGGTCTGGGGGGTTTTGGGGAGGGGTCTCACCCAGGCAGTCGAGGCGGGCGGGGTCCAGGTGGAAGCCGGGGTCGCAGGCGCAGGTGAAGGCGTCGCCCACGCGGACGCAGCGCCCGTGGGTGCAGCCGCTCAGGACCCCGCACTCCTCCTCTCCTAAAGTGGGGAGGGGGCTTCAGACCCCCCACCCCCCCCAGAAAAAAACCCCCAAAAAAACCCCAAACCCACCCCCAAAAAAATCCCCCCAAAAAACCCCAAAAAATCTGAAAAAAACCCCAAACTCCACTGAAACTCCCCCTAAAACCCAAAACTCCCCCTAAAACCCAAAACTCCCCCTAAAACCCAAAATCCCCAAAACTCCCCCCAAAATCCTCCCCCAAAACTCCCCAAAAGCCCAAAATCCCCCCGAAAAAACCCCAAAAAACCCCCAAACTCCCCCCAAAATTCATCTGAAAACCCAAAATTCCCCCCCCCCAAAAAAACCCCAAAAAACCCCCCCAAAAAACCCCAAAAAATCCCTCCCAAAAACCCCAACCCTCACCTTCCTCCTCCTCCTCCTCCTCCTCCTCCTCGGGGGTCCCGTGGGGTTGGAGATTCCATCGGGGGCCCCCTCGGGGGGGCTCAAATCGGGGTCCCCTCCCCCGGGGGGGGTCCCCAAAATCCTCGTAACGGGGGGGGAGGGGCGGCCGGGGGGGAGGGGCGTAAAGGGAGGGCTCCCCCGCCCCTCCCCCACCCCCCACCAGGGGGTCGTAGGCCACGCCCCCTGCCCCACCCCCGTAATAAGGGGAGGGGTCGTAATGGGGGCGGAACTCCCCAAAAAATTCGGGGGGGCCCCCGTAAGGGGGGGGGAGGGGCCCGAATTGGGGCGGGGGGAAATTGGGGGAGGGGTCGTAGAGGGGGGGGGCGAAGTTTGGGGGTCTCAGGACGTTGCAGAGGAGCTCGAAATCGTCTGGGGGGGGGAGACAAAAAATGGGGTTGGGGGGACCCCGAAATTTGGGGAGGGGGTCTTGAAATTGGGGGGATTTTTGGGGGGATTTTGGGATTTTTTTGGAGGGGTTTTGGGGGGTTTTTGGGGGGATTCTTTTGGTTTTTGGGGGAGATTTTGGGGGTTTTTTGGGGATTTTTGGGGGATTTGGGGGTTTGAAGGGCGGGGTCTGATTATTGGGGGGGGGGTCCAGTGTCCCCCATCCCGGGGGTCCAAACCCCTCCCCCTCCTGTTTAGGACCCCTCCCCAGTGCTCCCAGTTCCCAAACTGGTCCCAGTCCCAGCCCCCCCTGGTTTTGGGGATGGGTTTGGGGGTCCAGGGGCTGAATTTGGGGAGGGGTCCCGGGGGTCTCACCGCTGTGGGGGCACAGGGCTCCCATTCCTGGGGTCCCACATCCCCCCAGTGCTCCCAGTTCCCAAACTGGTCCCGGTCCCACGCTCATCCCAGCCCCCCCCGGTTTCAGAGATGGGTTTGGGGGTCCCGGGGCTGAATTTGGGGAGGGGTCCCGGGGGTCTCACCGGAGTGGGGGCAAAGGGGTCCCATTCCCGGGGTCCCACATCCCCTCAGTGCTCCCAGTTCCCAAGCTGGTCCCAGTCCCAGCCCCTCCAGGTTTCGGGGATGGGTTTGGGGGTCCCGGGGCTGAATTTGGGGAGGGGTCGTGGGGGTCTCACGGGAGCGGGGGGCGCGGTCCAGCTGTGCCCATCCCGGGGTCCCACATCCCCCCAGTGCTCCCAGTTCCCAAACTGGTCCCAGTCCCACGCTCATCCCAGCCCCTCCCGGTTTCGGGGATGGGTTTGGGGGTCCCGGGGCTGAATTTGGGGAGGGGTCGCGGGGGTCTCACCGCTGTGCGGGGCGGGGCAGAGCGCGCACTCCATGCCCCAGGCCTGCCCGTACAGGCAGCAGCACTCGGTGTAGGTGACGGGGGCAGCGCGCCGGGGCCGCCCGCACACCAGGTCCGGCCCCACCTCCTGCCAGCACACGGCCAGGGACCCCTCTGGGGGGCGAGAATTTGGGGAGGGGTCTTAATTGGGGGGTGCCGAACCCTAAAAATTCACCCCCGTTATGGGAAACCCCAAAAATCGCCGTTAATGGGGACGGCAGGTAACCCAAAAACCCCAAAAAGCCCAAAAACTCAGGGGAGCCCCGCCCCCTCCTGCCAGGACACGCCCAGGGACCCCTCGGGGGGGGCAAAAATTTGGGCGGGGTCTTAATTGGGGGGTGCTGAACCCCTAAAACCCCTCCGAACCCCTAAAACCCCTCCTAACCCCTAAAACCCATCCTAACGCCCCTAAATCCCCTCCTGACCCTTTTATACCCCCCTAAAACCCCTCCTAACCCCCCAAATATCCCCCTAAAACCCCCCAAATTCCCTCTAAACCCCCCCAAACTGGGGTCCCCTCAGCCCCCCAATATCGGGGACCCCCGGCCCCCCCAAAACCCATCCTAACCCCCCTAAAACCCCTCCTAATCCCTTAAAACCCCTCCTAACCCCCCCAAACCCCCCCAATTGGGGGTCCCCTGACCCCCCTCGATATCGGGGACCCCCGGGCCCCCCCAAACGCATCCTAACCCCCCCAAAACCCATCCTAACCCCCCCAAAACCCCCCTACATCCCCTTTATATCCCACTAAAACCCCTCCTAACCCCCTAAACCCCCTCCTAACCCCCCAAATCCCCCCCAAACCCCCCAATTCGGGGTCCCCTGACCCCCCCCGATATCGGGGACCCCCGGGCGCCCCCAGACCCACCCGGGTCGGTGTCGTTGGCCACGCAGCGGCGCTGGGAGGGGTCCAGGATGAGCGGGGGGGGGCAGGAGCACAGGTAGGAGCCCACGGTGTTGACACAGAGCCCCCCCAGGCACGGCTCGGCCTCGGCCGCCGCACACTCGTCGTTGTCTGGGGGCAAAATTGGGGTCAGGGGGGATTCAGGGGGGGTTTGGGGGGATTTGGGGTCTTAGCAGGGGAGTTTGGGGGGTATAAAGCGAGTTTAGGGGGGATTTTGGGGTGTTTAAGGTGAGTTTAGGGGGGATTTTGAGTGGTGTAAGTTGATTTTAGGGGGATCTTGGGGATGTTTAAAAGGATTTTGGGGGGTATAGATTGAGTTTGGGGGGATTTTGGAGGGGTTTGTGGGGATTTAGAGGGGGTTTAGGGGGATTTTGGGGGGGATTTGGGGAGTTTAGGGGGGTTAGGCACAGCTCGGCCACGGCCGCCGCACACTCGTCGTTGTCTGGGGGGCAAAAATTGGGGGTCAGGGGGGGTTTGGGGGGATTTTGGGGGATTTGGGGTCTTAGCAGTGGAGTTCGGGGGGTATAAGGTGAGCTTAGGGGGGATTTTGGGGTGTTTAAGGTGAGTTTAGGGGGGATTTTTTGGGGCGCATGGGTCCTGGCGGGTACAGACAGACACAGACAGGTCCCGGCAGGTCCTGGCAGGTACAGATGGACATAAACAGGTACAGACGGACACAAACAGGGACAGATGGACACAAACAGGTACAGACGGACACAAACAGGTCCTGGCAGGTACAGACGGACTCAGACAGGTGCAGATGGACACAAACAGGTCCTGGCAGGTACAGACGGACACAAACAGGTACAGACAGGTCCTGGCAGGTACAGAGACACACAGACAGGTCCCGGCAAGTCCTGGCAGGTACAGACGGACACAAACAGGGACAGACAGACTCAGACAGGTCCTGGCAGGTCCAGACGGACTCGGCCAGGTCCCGGCAGGTACAGACAGACACAAACAGGGACAGACGGACACAAACAGGGACAGACAGACACAAACAGGTCCAGATGGACACAAACAGGTCCAGATGGACACAAACAGGGACAGACAGACACAAACAGGGACAGACAGACACAAACAGGTACAGATGGACACAAACAGGTACAGACGGACACAAACAGGTCCTGGCAGGTACAGACAGACTCAGACAGGTCCAGACGGACTCGGCCAGGTCCCGGCAGGTACAGACGGACACAAACAGGTACAGACGGACTCAGACAGGTACAGACAGACACAAACAGGTACAGACGGACACAAACAGGTACAGACGGACACAAACAGGGACAGACAGACACAAACAGGTACAGACAGACACAAACAGGGACAGACAGACACAAACAGGGACAGACGGACTCGGCCAGGTCCCGGCAGGTCCCAGCAGGTGCGCGGCGCTCACCCACGCACTGCAGGTGCTCCTGCTCGAAGTAGAAGCCGCTGGGGCAGAAGCAGCTGAAGGAGGGGGCGGCGTTGACACAGAGCCCCCCCCGGCAGAGCTCGGGCCCGAACAGGGAGCACTCATCGACATCTGGGGGGGCAGAGACACCCCCGAATCGCAGGGACACCCCCAAAATCAAAAAGACCCCCCCCAAAATCACAAAGACCCCCCAAAAGCACAGGGACCCCCCCAAAAGCACAGGGACCCCCCCAAAGCACAGGGACCCCCCCAGGGTAAAAGGGACACAGGGACCCCCACCCCCAAAAGCGACAGAGACCCCCAGCAAACAGACAGGGACACCCTAAAAGGCACAAGAACCCCCCCAAAATCACAAAGACCCCCCCAAAAGCACAGGGACCCCCCCAAGTGACCCCCCCAGGGTAAAAGGGACACAGGGACCCCCCCCCCAAAAGCGACAGAGACCCCCCAGGACCCCCTCGTGGACCCCCCCAGGGACAAAGGGTGGGGGTCTCACCTGGGGGGGGGTCCCAGACTCACCTGCAGGGGGGCCCTGGGGGGTCTCGGGGAGGCGGCCGGGCCCGTGGGGACACAGGGACAGGTGAGCATCTGGGGGGGGGGGTAAAGCGGGGGTCAGGGACCCCAAAATTCCCCCCCAAATTCTGTTTGTGTGTGCCCCCCTCCCCTGCTCTTCTCTTTAGCCACACCTCAAATCTGCCCCATTTTGGGGGAGCACCAGGGGTCCCAAATCCACCCCAAATCCACCCCAAATCCACCCCAAATCCACCCCAAATCCACACCCAAATCCACCCCAAATCCACCCCAAATCCACACCCAAATCCACTCCAAATCCACCCCAAATCCCACCCCAAATGCCCCCTAAATCCCCCCCAAATCCCACCCCAAATCCATCCCAAATCCATCCCAAATCCCACCCCAAATCCACTCCAAATCCCACTCCAAATTCCACCCTCAAATCCCCCCCAAATCCCACCCTAAATCCACCCAACACCCCACCCCAAATCCACCCTAAATCCCACCCCAAATCCACCCCAAATCCCACCCAAATCCATCCCAAATCCCACCCCTATTCCCCCCCCAGTTGCCCCCTAAATCCCACCCCAAATCCCCCCGAAATCCCCCTAAAATCCCCCCCATTCCCCCAATCACCCCCAGTTGCCCCCCAAACCCCCCCCAAACGCCCCCCGCGGGGTTTTTGGGGTGTCCCTCACCTGTGCCAGGTGTGGGGCAGGGCTGCCCAGGGCACTGTGCCCCCCATGCCCACCCCAGGGTGCAGCAGCACTGCGGGCGGGTCACGTTCGGGGCCAGGACCCCACAGGCCCTACTGAAACACGAGGCCACCCCAAAATCCCCAGCAGGGCTCTGGGGTCTGGTTTGGGGGGTTTGGGGTCTGGTTTGGGGGGTTTGGGGTCGGGTTTGGGGGGTTTGGGGTCTGATTTCGGGGCTTTGGGGTCTGGTTTGGGGAGTTTGGGGTCTGATTTCGGGGCTTTGGGGTCTGGTTTGGGGGGTTTGGGGTCTGATTTCAGGGCTTTGGGGTCTGGTTTGGGGAGTTTGGGGTCTGATTTCGGGGCTTTGGGGTCTGGTTTGGGGGGTTTGGGGTCTGGTTTGGGGGGTTTGGGGTCGGGTTTGGGGGGTTTGGTGTCTGATTTCGGGGCTTTGGGGTCGGGTTTGGGGAGTCTGGGGTCTGGTTTGGGGTCTGATTTCGGGGGGTTGGGGTCTGATTTCAGGGGGTTGGGGTCTGGTTTGGGGGCTTTGGGGTCCGATTTGGGGAGTTTGGGGTCTGATTTCGGGGTTTTGGGGAACATGGGGGCTTTGGGGTCTGATTTGGGGCGCTTGGGGTCTGGTTTGGGGGCTTTGGGGTCGCATTTGTGGGCTCTGGGGGATTTGTGGGTTCTGGGGGGTCTGGGGCCGGCTTTGGGGGCTCTGTGGGGTCGGCAGGGCCCCGCAGCGGCCGGTGACGGGGTCGAACTCCTGCCGGGAGTCGGGGCACAGGCACAGGAAGGAGCCCTCGACGTTCTCGCAGCGCTCGGCCCCACAAACCCCGCGCAGCGTCTGGCACTCGTCCACGTCTGGGGGGTCGGGATTTGGGGTTTGGGATTTGGGATTTGGGATTGGGGTTTTGGGATTTGGGATTTGGGGTTGGGGGTTTGGGATTTGGGGGGTTTGGGGTTTGGGATTTGAGGGGTTTAGGATTGGGGGATTTGGGAGATTTGGGGTTGGGGATTTGGGGATTTGGAGTTGGAAATTTGGGGGATTTGGGATTTGGGGTGGGATTTGGGGCACAGGGACGGGGATTTGGGGCACAGGGACGGGGATTTGGGACACAGGGATTTGGGGCACAGGGACGGGGATTTGGGGCACAGGGATTTGGGGCATAGGGACGGGGATTTGGGGCACAGGGATTTGGGGCATAGGGACGGGGATTTGGGGCACAGGGATTTGGGGCACAGGGATTTGGGGCACAGGGATTTGGGGCACAGGGACGGGGATTTGGAGCACAGGGATTTGGGACACAGGGATTTGGGGCACAGGGACAGGGATTAGGGGCACAGGGATTTGGGGCACAGGGATTTGGGGCACAGGATGGGGATTTGGGGCACAGGGATTTGGGGCACAGGGATTTGGGGCACAGGGACAGGGATTTGGGGCACAGGGATGGGGATTTGGGGCACAGGGATGGGGATTTGGGGCACAGGGATGGGGATTTGGGGCACAGGGATGGGGATTTGGGGCACAGGGATGGGGATTTGGGGCACAGGGACTTGGGGCACAGGGACAGGGATTTGGGGCACAGAGACGGGGATTTGGGGCACAGGGATGGGGATTTGGGGCACAGGGATTTGGGGCACCGGGATGTGGGGCACAGGGATTTGGGCACAAGGCCAGGGCCGGGTGTCCCCAGCGCTGGTGGCCGTACCCACGCAGTGGTGGCCGTGCCGGGCGGTCTCGTAGCCGGGGTCACAGGCGCACTGGAAGGAGCCGGGCAGGTTGTGGCAGGTGGCGTGGGCACCGCACAGGGTCCCGTTGGAGCACTCGTCCACGTCTGGCACCGGGTGGGACAAAGGTTGGGGACATCCTGAGCTCCTTGGCCACCCCCCGGGCTTGGACTTTGGCCCCCTGTGTTCCCATCCCTGTCCCTGTGTCCATCCCAGTCCCTGTGTCCATCCCTGTCCCCATCCCTGTCCCTGTGTCCATCCCTGTGTCCATCCCTGTCCCTGTGTCCCCATTTCCATTCCCATCCCAGTCCCCACATCCCCATATCCCACTCCCATATCCATGTCCCCATCCTAATCCCAAATTCACAAATCCCCATATCCCAATCCCATATTCCATATCCCAAATCCCATATCCCCAATCCCAAACCCCTCACCGATGCAGTCCCCGCCGTCCCCGGGCCGGAATCCCGGCTGGCACTCGGGCACAATCCCAAATCCCAAATCCCAAACCCCAATCCCAAATTCCCAAATCCCCAACCCAGACCCCTCACCGATGCAGTCCCCGCCGTCCCCGGGCCGGAATCCCGGCTGGCACTCGGGCACGCAGCGATAGGAGCCCGGAATGTTCTCGCAGCGCTGCGCCCCGCAGAGCCCGGCCCCGTACTCCTGGCACTCGTCCATGTCTGGGGTCCAGGACATTGGGGACAAGTGGGGACAATTGGGGACATTGGGATGGGGACATCCAGAACCCCGGGAGCAGCTCCCGTACCACCCCCATCCCTGTGCCAGTCCCAATTCCCGTGTCCCCATTCCCATCCCCATCCCTGTCCCAATCCCAGTCCCCATATCCTCATTCCCATCCCAATCCCAATGTCCCCAGTTCCCATCCCAGTCTCCATATCCCCATCCTGATCCCATTTCCCAATCCCAAATACCAAATTCCCAAATCCCCAACCCAAACCCCTCACCGATGCAGTCCCCGCCATCCCTGGGCCGGAATCCCGGCTGGCACTTGGGCACAATCCCATATCCCATATCCCATATCCCAAATCCCCAATCCCAAATTCCCAAATCCCCAACCCCAAACCCCTCACCGATGCAGTCCCCGCCGTCTCCAGGCCGGAATCCCGGCTGGCACTCGGGCACACAGCGATAGGAGCCCGGAATGTTCTCGCAGCGCTGCGCCCCGCAGAGCCCGGCCCCGTACTCCTGGCACTCGTCCACGTCTGGGGTCCAGGACATTGGGGACAATTGGGGATAATTGGGGACAATTGGGGACATTGGGATGGGGACATGGGGATATGGGGAGTCCCGGTGTCCCCATGCCCATCCCATTCCCCAAATTCCCATCCCATTCCCTAAACTCCCACCCCATTCCCCATTCTCCATTTCCCAAACTCCCACCCCATTCCTGAAATCCCCACCTCATGTCCCTGAGTCCCCGCCTCATATCCCAAACCCCACCCCATATCCCAAACTCCACCTCATATCCCAAACCCCACCCCATATCCCAAACCCCACACCCCATATCCTGGCCCCCGTTCCCGTTCCCGTTCCCGTTCCTCACCGCGGCACTCGGCCTTGGCGTCGTCGGTGCGGAACCCGGCCGGGCACTGGCACTGGAAGGAGCCCTCGGTGTTGAGGCAGCGCCCGCCGGCGCAGACGGCCCCACGCTGGCACTCGTCCACATCTGGGGGGAGATTTGGGGTTTGGGATTTGGGGTTTGAGATTTGGGGTCTGGGATGTGGCAATGAGGTGGGTGTGGCACAGACGGCCCCGCGCTGGCACTGGTCCACATCTGGGGTTGGGAACATCAGGACTGGGATGACCATGGGGACACCAGGATGACCATGGGGACACCAGGACTGGGACAATCCTGAGGACACCAGAACTGGAACAACCATGGGGACACCAGGACTGGGACAATGCTGGGGACACTGGGACTGGGATGACCATGGTGACACCAGGACTGTGACAACCCCAGCCAAAGCCACAAGGCCCAAAACACCACAGTCCAACCCCAAAACCCACCCCAACCCCAAACCCACCAGCACCGCCACCCTTCAGGTGCCCCCCGAGGCTCCACGCGCTGTCCCCAGGTGTGCCCAGGTGTGTCACCCACCGGTGCAGGCGGCGCCGTCGGCGGTGGTGGCGAAGCCGTCGGCGCAGAGGCAGCGGAAGGAGCCGGCCGTGTTGATGCACTCGCCGTGCGGGAAGCAGAAGTCGCCCTCCAGGCACTCGTTGACGTCTGTGGGGCCACCGCCAGGAGGTCACCCGGGGGCGGTGGCACCGCCGGGGCGTCCCCAAGGAGGTCCCCGCTCACCCTGGCAGGCGCTGGCGCCGGCGGTGGCGCGGTAGCCGCGGTGGCACTCGCAGCGGAAGGAGCCGGCGGTGTTGAGGCAGCGGCCGTGGGGGGCGCAGGGGGAGCCCCCCGAGCACTCGTCCACGTCTGGGGGGACATCGGGGTCACCAGGGGGACATCGGGGTCACCAGGGGGACGTGGGGGCATCAGGGGGACGTGGGGACATCAGGGGGACGTGGGGACAGGAGTTACGGGGTGTCCAAATCCTCTAAGTCCCATGATGTGATGACCCCAAGTCATGGTCATCCCCATGGCGTGGTGACCCCAAGAGCTCATCCACGTCTGGGAGGACATTGGGGTCACCAGGAGGACATCGGGGTCACCAGGGGGACGTGGGGACGTCAGGGGGACGTGGGGACATCAGGGGGACATGGGGACAGGAGTTATGGGGTCTCCAAGTCCCCCAAGCCATGGTGCCCCATAACAGAGTGACCACAAGTCATGGTCATCCCATGGCGTGGTGACCCCAAGTTCTCGTCCATGTCTGAGGGGACATCGGGGTCACCAGGGGGATGTGGGGACAGGAGTTATGGGGTCTCCAAGTCCCCCAAGCCATGGTGACCCCAAGTTATGGTGATCCCATACCAGAGTGACCCCAAGTCATGGCGACCCCAAGTTCTCGTCCATGTCTGAGAGGACATCGGGGTCACCAGAGGGACATGGGGACATCAGGGAGTGGTGACCACAGGAGTTATGGGGTCTCCAAGTCCCCCAAGCCATGGTGACCCCAAGTTATGGTGACCCCAAGTTCTCATCCACGTCTGGGGGGACATCGGGGTCACCAGGGGGACATCAGGGTGGTGGCGACCACAGGAGTTCTGGGGTCTCCAAGTCCCCTAAATCACGGTGGCCCCAAATCATGGAGGCCCCATGGTGTGGTGACCCCATGCACTCCTCTGGGGGGTCTCTGGTGACACAGGTGACACTGAGGTGGCACACAGGTGGCACACAGGTGGCACACAGGTGACACACAGGTGACACTGAGGTGGCACACAGGTGACACTGAGGTGGCACACAGGTGGCACACAGGTGGCACACAGGTGACACTGAGGTGACACTGAGGTGACACACAGGTGACACACAGGTGGCACACAGGTGGCACACAGGTGACAGCGGTACCTGCGCAGCGCCCCTGGCGCAGGTGGAAGCCGTCGGGGCAGGGCTGGCACCGGAAGGAGCCCGGGGTGTTCACGCACTCCTGGCCAGGACACGCCAGGTGGTTCTCGCACTCATCGATGTCTGAGGGGACATTGGGGACATCGGGGGGGACCCCAAGTCGTGGTGACCCCACAAGAGTGACCCCAAGGACCACTGACCCCACAGCACAGAGCCCTCTCCCCAATGTCCCCCAGTTCCATCCCAGTTTATCCCAGTCCCTCCCAGTCCCTCCCAGTCCATCCCAGTTTGTCCCAGTTTATCCCAGTTTATCCCAGTCCCTCCCATTTTGTCCCAATTTGTCCCAGTTTGTCCCAGTTTATCCCAGTCCGTCCCAGTCCCTCCCAGTCTGTCCCAGTCCCCCCCAGTCCCTCCCGGTCCGTCCCAGTCCATCCCAGTCCCTCCCGGTCCCTCCCAGTTTGTCCCAGTTGGTCTCACCCTGGCAGGGTTGGTCTCCCCCGTGCCCCCGGTACCCCCCCCGGGCAGACGCACTCGAACCCCCCCGGTCGATTCTCGCAGCGCCCGTGGGCGCAGGGCCGGGCACCTGGGAGCACTCGTCCACATCTGCGGGCACAGGTAACGGGCACAGGTAATGGGCACAGGTCATGGGCACAGGTAATGGGCACAGGTAATGGGCACAGGTGGGCACAGGTAATGGGCACAGGTAATGGGGACAGGTGGGCACGGGTAATGGGGACAGGTAATGGGGACAGGTGGGCACGGGTAATGGGGACAGGTAATGGGGACAGGTAATGGGCACAGGTAATGGGCACAGGTGGGCACAGGTAATGGGCACAGGTAATGGGGACAGGTAATGGGGACAGGTAATGGGCACAGGTGGGCACAGGTAATGGGCACAGGTCATGGGCACAGGTAATGGGGACAGGTAATGGGCACAGGTAATGGGGGACAGGTGGGCACAGGTGGGCACAGGTAATGGGGACAGGTAATGGGGACAGGTAATGGGGACAGGAGGGGTTTGGGAGGGCACAGGTGTGGTTTGGGGTGTGCCCAGGTGCCCCCAGGTGTGGTTTGGGGTGTGCCCAGCTGCCCCCAGGTGTGCCCAGGTGTGCCCAGGTGTGGTTTGGGGTGTCCCCAGGTGTCCCCAGGTGTGGTTTGGGCTGTGCCCAGGTGCCCCAGGTGTGCCCAGGTGTGGTTTGGGGTGTCCCCAGGTGTCCCCAGGTGTGGTTTGGGCTGTGCCCAGGTGCCCCAGGTGTGCCCAGGTGTGGTTTGAGGTGTGCCCAGGTGCCCCGAGGTGCCCCAGGTGTGCCCAGGTGTGTTTGGGGTGCCCCCAGGTGCCCCCAGGTGTGCCCAGATGCCCCCAGGTGTGGTTTGGGGTGTGCCCAGGTGCCCCCAGGTGTGCCCAGGTGTGGTCTGGGCTGTGCCCAGGTACCCCAGGTGCCCCCAGGTGTTTCGCTGACCTCGGCACTCGGTGCCCGCGGGCTCGGAGGTGAAGCCGGGGCCGCAGAGGCACCTGAAGCCGCCCACGGAGTTCTCACAGCGCCCCGGGGAGCACGGAGGGGGCACCTGGCGGCACTCATCGATGTCTGCGGGCACAGGTGGGCACAGGTGGGCACAGGTGGGCACAGGTAATGGGGATAGGTGGGCACAGGTGGGCACAGGTGGGCACAGGTGGGCACAGGTAATGGGGATAGGTGAGCACAGGTGAGCACAGGTGGGCACAGGTGGGCACAGGTAATGGGGATAGGTGGGCACAGATGGGCACAGGTGGGCACAGGTGAGGTTTGGGAGGGCACAGGTGGGCACAGGTAATGGGGATAGGCGGGGCACAGGTGGGCACAGATGGGCACAGGGGGGCACAGGTGGGCACAGGTAATGGGGATAGGTGGGCACAGATGGGCACAGGTGGGCACAGGTGAGGTTTGGGAGGGCACAGGTGGGCACAGGTAATGGGCAGGTCGAGCATGAACCCCCCAGAATCCCCCAGGAACTCTTTAAAGACCCCAAAACTCCCCAAAATCCCCTCCAAGGACCCCCTCAAATCCCCCCAAATCCCCTTCAAAACCCCAAATCCTGCCCCCAAATCCCCCCAAACACCCATAAATCCCCCCAAACCCCCTCAGGACCCCCAACACCCCCCAAATCCCCCCCAAATCCCCCCAAATCACCCCCAAATCCCGGTTCCCCACTCACCCACGCAATGGGTGCCCTGGGGGCTCAGCCAGAAGCCCCCAAATCCCCCAAATCCCCCCCAAATCCCCCAAATCCCCCAAATCCCCCCCATTCCCCACTCACCCACGCAATGGGTGCCCTGGGGGCTCAGCCAGAAGCCCCCAAATCCCCTCAGGACCCCCATAAATCCCCAAATCCGCCCCAAATCCCCACTCACCCACGCAATGGGTGCCCTGGGGGCTCAGCCAGAAGCCCCCAAATCCCCTCAGGACCCCCATAAATCCCCCAAATCCCCCCCAAATCCCCACTCACCCACGCAATGGGTGCCCTGGGGGGCTCAGCCAGAAGCCCCAAATCCCCCATAAATCCCCAAAATCCCCCCCAAATGCCCCAAATCCCCACTCACCCACGCAATGGGTGCCCTGGGGGCTCAGCCAGAAGCCCCCCCGGCACAGGCAGGTGTAGCCCCCTCCCCCCCGGGGCACGCAGCGCCCGGGGCCGCACACGGAGGGGTCGCGCTGGCACGGGGACACTGCGGGATCGGGGCCCATCAGGGCATTTTGGGGGATTTTGGGGCATTTTGGGGGATTTTAGGGGATTTTGGGGGATTTTGAGGGGATTTTTAGGGAATTTTTAGGGGATTTTGAGGGGATTTTGAGGGGATTTTTGGGGGATTTTTAGGGGATTTTTACCCCCCAAATCCCCTCAAACCCCCCCCTCTCAAATCCCCCACAAATCTCCCCTGAACCCCCCAAATCAGCCCCAAATCCCCCCCAAAATCCCCCTCAAATCCCCCCCCAAATGCCCTCAATGCCCCCCGAAAGTCCCCCCAAATCCCCCCAAATCCGCCCCAAAATGACCCCAAAGTCCCCCCAATACCCTCCCAAACCCCCCCTCCCCAAAATCCCCCCTCAACCACCCCCAAAATCCCCCCAAATCCCCCCTAAACCCCCCAAATCTCCCTCAAAACCCCCCCTCACAAATCTCCCCCCCGAAATCCCCCAAACCCCCCAAAATCCCCCCAAATCCCCCCAAATCCCCCCCAAAACCCCCCCGAGCCCCCCCCCAGCCCCTCCCGGTCTCACCTGGCTCCGGGGGGGCGGGGTGGGCAGGGCCCCCCCCAGGTGGGGGCTGGGCCGGGGCACCACGATCACCTCGGGCGCGGGGGGGGGCGGCGGGGGGGGCCCGGCCGGGGGGGGCTCCGGGGCTGGGGGAGGGGAGAAAAATAACGGGGGGGGGGAGGGGTCAGGGGTTGAATTTGGGGGGGGTTTGGGAGGGGTTTGGGGGGATTTGGGATTTTAGGAGCAGTTTTAGTGGGATTTTGGTGATTTTTTGGGGTTTTTGGGGGTTTTTTTGGGGGGTGGGGTTCGGGGCTTTTTTTGTTTGTTTTGTTTTGTTTTCGGGGTTTTTCTGGGTTTTTTGGTCATTTTTGGGGGTTTTTTTTGGGGGGTTCGGGGCTTTTTTTGTTTGTTTGTTTGGGGGTTTTTTTCGGTTTTTTTCTGGGTTTTCTTGGGTTTTTTGGGGTTTTTTTTTGGTTTTTTTTTGGGGGGGGTTCGGGGCTATTCTTTTTGTTTGGTTGTTTTTCTTTTTGGGGTTTTTCTGGGTTTTTTTGGTCATTTTTGGGGGTTTTTTTGTTTTTTTTTCGGGGGGTTCGGGGCTTTTCTTTTGTTTGTTTGTTTGGGGTTTTTCTGGGTTTTCTTGGGTTTTTTGGGGGTTGTTTTTATGGGTTTTTTCGGGGGGAGTTCGGGGCTTTTTCTGTTTGTTTTGTTTTGTTTTCGGGGTTTTTCTGGGTTTTTTTGGTCATTTTGTGGGGTTTTTTTGGGTTTTTTTGGGGGGGGTTCGGGGCTTTTTTTTATTTGTTTGGGGTTTTTTTTCGGGGTTTTTCTGGGTTTTCTTGGGTTTTTTGGGGGTTGTTGTTTTGGGTTTTTTCGGGGGGGGTTCGGGGCTTTTTTGTTTGTTTGTTTGTTTGGGGTTTTTTCCGGGTTTTTCTGGATTTTCTTGTGGTTTTTCGGGGGGTTTTTGGGGGGGATTCAGGGCTTTTGTTTGTTTGTTTGTTGGGGTTTTTTTCCGGGTTTTTTCTGGGTTTTCTTGCGTTTTTTGGGAGGGTTTTTTTGGGTTTTTTGGGGGGGGGGTTCGGGGCTTTGTTTTTGTTTGTTTGTTTGGGGTTTTTTTCGGGGTTTTTCTGGGTTTTCTTGGGTTTTTTGGGGGGGGGGGGTTTTGGGTTTTTTTGGGGGGGGGGTTGGGGCTTTTTTTTGTTTGTTTGTTTGGGGTTTTTTCCGGGTTTTTTCTGGGTTTTCTTGGGTTTTTTGTGGGGTTTTTTTGGGTTTTTTGGGGGGGGTTCGGGGCTTTTTTTTATTTGTTTGTTTGGGGTTTTTTTCAGGGTTTTTCTGGGTTTTCTTGGGTTTTTTGGGGGGGGGGGGTTTTTGGGTTTTTTCAGGGGGGTTCGGGGCTTTTTTTGTTTGTTTTGTTTTGTTTTCGGGGTTTTTCTGGGTTTTTTTTGGTTTTTTGGGGGTTTTTTTTTGTTTTTTTTGGGGGGGGATTCGGGGCTTTTTTCGTTTGTTTGTTTTGTTTTGTTTTCGGGGATTTCTGGGTTTTTTTGGTCATTTTTGGGGGGTTTTTTTGGGGGGTTCGGGGCTTTTTTTGTTTGTTTGTTTGGGGTTTTTTCCGGGTTTTTCTGGATTTTCTTGCGGTTTTTCGGGGGGTTTTTTGGGGGGATTCAGGGCTTTTGTTTGTTTGTTTGTTGGGGTTTTTTTCGGGTTTTTTCTGGGTTTTCTTGCGTTTTTTGGGAGGGTTTTTTTGGGTTTTTTGGGGGGGGGGTTCGGGGCTTTGTTTTTGTTTGTTTGTTTGGGGTTTTTTTCAGGGTTTTTCTGGGTTTTCTTGGGTTTTTTGGCGGGGGTTCGGGGCTTTTTTTATTTGTTTGTTTGGGGTTTTTTTCGGGGTTTTTCTGGGTTTTCTCGGGGTTTTTTGGGGTTTTTTTTTTGGTTTTTTTTTTGTTTTTTTCCTGTTTTTTTTTTTTTGGGTGCTCACCGGGGGTCATGGGGGTGCTCAGGGGGGGCCCCAGCGGGACCCCCGCCCCATCCTGGCCCAGGAATTGGGTGTTGATCCTCAGGTCCGAGGCCGAGTAGTGATAGCCGGGCCCGGCCGGGCAGATCTCCCGGAACCCCTCTGCAATTGGGGAGGGGTCCCAGGGCCACAAATGGGTCTGGGGGCTCACACGGGCATGGGGGACACCCCCAAGGCACCGGGGGATCCCCCCAGCCCCCCAAAATCTGCGGCTTCCTCCCGAAATTTCCTGGACCCTTCCCCGAATTCTCGGACCCCTCCCCAATTTCCTGGGACCCCTCCCCGAATTTCTAAGCCCCTCCCCAAATTCTCAGACCCCTCCCCAAATTCTTGGACCCCCTCCCCAAAAAATTCCCGGGACCCGCCCCCCCTCCCCAAATTCCTGGAGCTTCCCCCAAATTTCTGGGTCCTTCCTTAAGATCTCAGACCCCTCCCCAGATTCTCAGACCCCTCCCCAAATTCTTGGGACCCCTCCCCAAAAATTCCTGTTCCCCCCCCGGCAAAAAAATTCCAGGACCCCTCCCCAGAAATTCCTGGGACCCCTCCCCAAATTCTTGGGATCCCTCCCCAAAAAATTCCCGTTCCCCCCCCCCCCGGCAAAAAAATTCCTGGGACCCCTCCCCAAATTCCAGGACCCCTGCCCAGAAATTCCTGGGACCCCTCCCCAAATTCCCAGGTCCCTCCTGAACATCTCAGACCCCTCCCCAAATTCCCGACTTCCCCATCCTCATCCCCACCCAATTCTGGGGGTTTTGGGGGCATTTTTGGGCGGAATTTCGGAGTTTTTGGACTCCCCACACATCGAATTTTTCCCCCCCACCATTTCCGGGTGCTCCCAGAAATTCGGGAACCCCTAAAAAAAAATTTTGGGGAGGCGTTTCAGGAACTCCAGAGCCCCCCCAAAAAAACTTCGGGAGAGGGGGAGGGAAAAACTCAAACTCCGCCTCATTTTGGGCCGAATTTTGGGGTTTTTTCACCCGGATTTTTTCCCCGCGATTTGAGGGGGGGGTCTGATAATTTTGGAACCCCTAAAAAAATTTTGGGGAGGGGTCTCAGGACCTCCAGAGCCCCCCAAAAAACTTTGGGAGGGGAGGAGGGGATTGGGAGGGAAGAAAGCTCAAACTCCGCCTCATTTTTGGGCCGAATTTTGGGTTTTTTTCACCCGGATTTTTTCCCCGCGATTTGAGGCGGGGTCTCCCCAGTTTGGGGCGGGGTCTCACCGGATCCGAAGGGGGGGCAGAGCAGGCAGGAGCCCCCCCAGGCTTTGCCCACGCGGCTGCAGCAGCAAACCTGGCGGGTGATGTTGCGCAGGGTGGGCAGCGCGCAGCCCCCGCCCTCCCGCAGCAGCCGGAAACAGGGACCGCGGGCCTCGGACAGCACCTGCTGGGCTGGGGGCCGGCCGGGTCAGAGCACAGTTCATCCCAGTTCATCCCAGTTTGTCCCAGTTCATCCCAGTTTGTCCCAGTCCATCCTAACCCATCCTAACCCAGCCCATCCCGTTCTATCCCTTCCAGACCTGATGGGTCTGGGGTCTCCCGCGGGCCTCGGACAGCACCTGCTGGGCTGGGGGCCGGCCTGGTCAGCGCCCGGTGCGGCCCAGTGCGGCCCAGTTTGTCCCAGTCCATCCCAGTTCATCCCAGTTCATCCTAACCCAGCCCATCCCATTCTATCCCTTCCAGACCAGGCGGGTCTGGGGTCTCCCGCGGGCCTCAGACAGCACCTGCTGGGCTGGGGGCCGGCCTGGTCAGTGCCCGGTGCGGCCCAGTGCGGCCCAGTTCATCCCAGTTCGTCCCAGTCCATCCCAGTCCATCCTAACCCATCCTATCCCAGCCCATCCCATTCTATCCCTTCCAGACCTGGTGGGTCTGGGGTCTCCTGCGGGCCTCGGACAGCACCTGCTGGGCTGGGGGCCGGCCGGGTCAGCGCCCGGTGCGGCCCAGTCCATCCCAGTTCATCCCAGTCCATCCCAGTTCATCCCAGTTCATCCCAGTTCATCCCAGTTTGGCCCAGTCCATCCCAGTTCATCCCAGTTTGTCCCAGTCCATCCCAGTTCATCCCAGTCCATCCCAGTTCATCCCAGTTCATCCCAGTTTGTCCCAGTCCATCCTAACCCATCCTAACCCAGCCCATCCCATTCTATCCCTTCCAGACCAGGCGGGTCTGGGGTCTCCCACGGGCCTCGGACAGCACCTGCTGGGCTGGGGGCCGGCCGGGTCAGCGCCCAGTTCATCCCAGTTCATCCCAGTCCATCCCAGTTCATCCCAGTTCATCCCAGTCCATCCCAGTTTGTCCCAGTTCATCCCAGTTCATCCTAACCCAGCCCATCCCATTCTATCCCTTCCAGACCTGGTGGGTCTGGGGTCTCCCGCGGGCCTCGGACAGCACCTGCTGGGCTGGGGGCCGGCCGGGTCAGAGCACAGTTCATCCCAGTTCATCCCAGTCCATCCCAGTTTGTCCCAGTTCATCCTAACCCATCCTAACCCATCCTATCCCATTCTATCCCTTCCAGACCAGGCGGGTCTGGGGTCTCCCGCGGGCCTCGGACAGCACCTGCTGGGCTGGGGGCCGGCCTGGTCAGCGCCCGGTGCGGCCCAGTGCGGCCCAGTTTGTCCCAGTCCATCCCAGTTCATCCCAGTTCATCCTAACCCAGCCCATCCCATTCTATCCCTTCCAGACCAGGCGGGTCTGGGGTCTCCCGCGGGCCTCAGACAGCACCTGCTGGGCTGGGGGCCGGCCGGGTCAGAGCACAGTTCATCCCAGTCCATCCCAGTTCATCCCAGTTTGTCCCAGTCCATCCCAGTTCATCCCAGTTTGTCCCAGTTCATCCCAGTCCCATCCTAACCCATCCTAACCCAGCCCATCCCATTCTATCCCTTCCAGACCTGGTGGGTCTGGGGTCTCCTGCAGGCCTCGGACAGCACCTGCTGGGCTGGGGGCCGGCCGGGTCAGTGCCCAGTTCATCCCAGTTTGTCCCAGTCCATCCCAGTTTGTCCCAGTTCATCCCAGTCCATCCCAGTTCATCCCAGTCCATCCCAGTCCATCCTAACCCAGCCCATCCCATTCTATCCCTTCCAGACCTGGTGGGTCTGGGGTCTCCCACAGGCCTCGGACAGCACCTGCTGGGCTGGGGGCCGGCCGGGTCAGCGCCCAGTGCGGCCCAGTTCATCCCAGTTCATCCCAGTTCATCCCAGTTTGGCCCAGTCCCATCCTGTCCCAGCCCATCCCATTCTATCCCACTAAAACGCCATAAATCCCAAACCCTGCTCACAGATGCAGCAGGACCGGGATGAATCCAGCAGGAATCCCACCCCAAACCCATTCCCAACCTCCACAAATGACCCCAAACCCCACAGATAACCCCATAAATGACCCCAAACCCCACAAATGACCCCAAACCCCACAGATAGCCCCACAGATGACCCCATAAACCCCATAAATCCCAAACCCTGCTCACAGATGCAGCGGGACCGGGATGAATCCAGCAGGAATCCCACCCCAACCCCATTCCCAACCTCCATAAATGACCCCAAACCCCACAGATAACGCCACAACTGACCCCAAACCCCAAAGATAACCCCATAAATGACCCCAAACCCCACAGATAGCCCCAGAAATGACCCCAAACCCCAGAAATGTCCCTACAGATGCAGCGGGAGCGGGAGGAGTCCAGCAGGAATCCCATCCCAACCCCATGAATCCCACAGATAATGCCATAAATGACCCCAAACCCCACAGATGACCCCATAAATGACCCCAAACCCTGCTCACAGATGCAGCGGGAGCGGGAGGAGTCCAGCAGGAATCCGGGCGGGCACAGGCAGGCGAAGCTGCCGCGGGTGTTGGTGCAGAGCCCGAGCTGGCACAGAGCCCCCTCCTGGCACTCGTCCACGTCTGGGGGGACAGACGGACACGGGGGGGGTCAGTGGGGACCCCCCCGAGCCCGAAAACCGGATCCCAAAATTCCCCCATCCCAAAATTCCCCCATCCCAAAATTCCCGCATCCCGAAATTCCCCCATCCCAAAATTCCCCCATCCCAAAATTCCCCCATCCCCAAGAAAATCCCGTCCTAAAATTCACCATCGCAAAAATTCCCGGATCTCAAAAAACGCCCGTCTGAAAAAAATCTCCATCTTAAAAAAATCCCCAGCCCAAAAAATCCCCTGATCCCCAAAATTCCTCATCCCAAAAAATCCCCTGATCCCCAAAATTCCAGAGCTTAAAATATCCCCGTCACAAAATTCCTGATCCCCAAAAAAATTCCCCATCCCAAAAAAAATCCTGATTTTAAAAAATTCCCGATCTCGAAATCCCCTGATCGCAAAAAAAAATCCTGGCCCCGAAATTCCCAACCCTAAAATTCCCCATCCCAAAAATTCCTGATCCCAAAAATTCCCGATCCCAAAAATTCCTGATCCCAAAAACTCCCATCCCAAAAATTCCTGATCCCCAAATCCCCAAATCCCAAATCCCAAATCCCCAATCCCAAATCCCCAATCCCCTCTCACCCACGCAGGTTCCGTTCTGCCGCTGGAATCCCTGCGGGCACGGCTCTGCAAGGGAGGGGGTGGCACCTTTGTCACCTTTGTCACCTTTGTGCCACCTTTGTGTCACCTTTGTGCCACCTTTGTCACCCCTTGGGTGTCCCCGTGTCCCCTTCCCCACTTTGTCACTTCCTCCCCCCCTTTGTCACCCCCTTTTTGTCATCTCCCCCCCAGTGTTTGTCACCCCCTCAATGTCCCCGTGTCCCCCCCTGTGTCCCCGTGTCCCCCCCCCGGTGTCACCCCCCAATGTCCCCGTGTCCCCCTCCAATGTCCCCCTGTCCCCCCCCGGTATTTGTCACCCCCAATGTCCCCGTGTCCCCCCCCGTGTCCCCCTGTCCCCCCCGCCATGTCCTCGGTGTCCCCCCCCGATGTCCCCGTGTCCCCCCCGGTGTTTGTCACCCCCCGATGTCCCCCCCCGGGTGTCCCTTACGGGCGTGGCCCTGGCACGGGTGACACTCGCGGACCCCCCAGGCGACCCCGGCCCCCCCCCGGCAGCAAATGTCCCTGGTGCGGAGCCCGGGCAGAGGGGAGCTGCACTGGGGGGGGAATGGGGGAAAAACGGGGGGAAACGGGGAAAATAAATGGGGGAAATGGGGAGAAAATGGGGGGAAATATGGGGGGAAATGGGGGAAATATGGGGGAAAAACGGGGGGAAACGGGAAAAATAAATGGGGGAAAATGGGAAAAATAAATGGGGGAAATGGGGGAAATATGGGGGGAAAATGGGGAGGAAAATGGGGGAAAATGGGGGAAAAATGGGAAAAATAAATGGGGGAAAAATGGGGGGAAACGGGAAAAATAAATGGGGGGAAATGGGGGAAACGGGAAAATGGGGCAAAAATGGGGGGGAAATGGGGGAAAAATGGGGGAAAACGGGAAAATGGGGGAAAATGGGGGGAAATTGGGAAAATGGGGGGAAATGGGGGGAAAAGGGGAAAATGGGAGAAATACGGGGGGAAATGGGGGAAAATAGGGAAAATAGGGGGGAAACATGGGGGAAAAGGAAAAAATGGGGAAGAAAAGGAGAAAAGGGGGGAGAAAAGGCGGGGAAAGGAGGAAAATGTGAGGAGGAAAAAAAAAGAGAAAAAAGGAGGTTGGACCCCACGTAAAAAAAGCCCTGAATGACCCCGGCCCCCAAATTCCCACTTTTTGTCCCATTCCAGGTTCCCTTTCCCTCCTTTTCCCCATCCCCAAATTCCCCCTTTTCTCCCATCCTATTCCCCAAATTCCCCCACCCCAATCCCCCCTTTTTCCTTTTTCCCCCCATCCCAAACCCGAATTCCCCCAATTCCCCCCTTTCCCATCCCTCAATTCCCCCCATTTCCCCCCCAATTCCTCCCATGCCAGCCCCAAACTCCCCCATCCACCAAACCCCCAAATTCCCCCTTTCCCCCCTTTTTCCCTTGTTCCCATCCCTAAAATCCTCCCTTTTTTCCCCAAATCCTCCCTTTTTACCCCAAATCCCCCCATTTTTCTCAATTTCCCCCCCTTTACTCCCATTTCCCCCCAAATCCCCCATTTTTCCCATTTTTCCCCCTTTTCCCCTTTCCTCCCCCTTTTCTCCCTTCTCCCCCTTCCCTCCCCCTGTTTTTCCTCTCCTTTTCCCCCTTTTTCCCCCCCTTTTTCCCCTCCTATTTCCCTTTTCCCACCCTTTTCCCCTTTTTCCCCCCTCCTTTCCCCCATTTTCCCCCCTTTTCCCCATTTTCCCCTCATTTTCCCCCATTTTCCCCCTTTCCCCCCTTTTCCCCAATTTCCCCTCATTTTCCCCCATTTTCCCCCCATCCCCTTGCCTCTCTCACCTGCCCCCCCCAATCTGTCTGCACCAATCCCCGAACCCCAAATTCCCCAAATTCCCCTCCCCAAATTCCCCAAATTCCCCCCGTTTCTCACCTGGCCGCCCCTCAGGTGCCTGAACCAACCCCCGAACCCCAAATTCCCCTCCCCAAATTCCCCAAAAACGCCCCAATTCCCCAAATTCCCCCAATCCCCCCCGTTTCTCACCTGGCCGCCCCTCAGGTGCCTGAAGCAATACCCGAACCCCAAATTCCCCAAATTCCCCAAATTTCCCCCGTTTCTCACCTGGCCGCCCCTCAGGTGCCTGAAGCAATACCCGAAGCCCGAGTTCTCCTGGGCGGGGGGGGTCCCGGCCGGGTCCCCTCTGGGCCAGCACCGGGAATTGGGGCGGGGGGCTCGGGGAGGGCTCGGGGCCGCCCCGCACCCGCTCCACGCTGTGAATCGTCACCATGGCCTGCGGGGGATGCTGCACCAGGACGCTCACCATGGACTGCGCACCTGCACCGGGTGGGGACCACGATTTGGGGCCTTTTTGGGGTTTTTTGGGCAAAAAAACAACCCTAAAAAACCCCCCCTCCCCAACAGAAATTGCCGTGCCGATGTTATCGCGATTGCCGCCATTGCATCCCCAGAAATGTCAAAATCAACGCATTTCCCCCATTTCCATCCCACAATTTCTCCCTTTTTCTCCCCATTCCAAATCCCCAAATCCCTCCCCGAAATTCCCCCCATTCCATCGCCCAAAAATCTCCCCCAAATTCCGCCCTTTGCCCCCATTTCCATTGCCCAAATCCTCCCCAATTTTCCCAAATTTCCCCCCCCCCCATTCCCACCCCATAAATTCCCCCCTTTGCCATCCCCCAAACTGCCCCTTTTTCTCCCCATCCCAAATCCGCCCACAAATTTTCCCGATTCCCCCCATTCCATCCCCAAAAGTCCCCCCCAGTTCTCCCAAATTTCCCCCATTCCCACCCCACAAATTCCCTCCTTTTCCCCCATCCCAAATCCCACCCCAAAATCCTTTTTCTCCCCATCCCAAACCCCCAAATTTGGTGATGGAAAGGGGGAATGGGAATGGGAGGAACTGGGGGGAAATTGGGTAAAAAAATTCCCCAAAAACCAATTTTTGTGAGGGGAAATTGGGTAAAATCAAATCCCCCAAACCAAATTTTTTGGGGGAGGGGTAATTAAGGGAAAAATCCCCTAAAAGCCAAAATTTTTGGTGTGGGTAATTGAGGAAAAATCCCCCCAGACCAAATTGAGGGAGGGGGGTAATTAAGGAAAAATCCCCTAAAAAGCAAAATTTTTGGGGGGGATAATTAGGGAAAAAAATCCTCTAAAACCCAATTTTTTTGGAGGGGTAAATAGGGAAAAAATCCCCTGAAAACCAAATTGTTTGGAAGAGAGTAATTAGGGAAAGATCCACTAAACCAAATTTGGGGGAAAATTGGGGAAAAAAATCCCCTAAAAACCAATTTTGGGAGGGATAATTAGGGAAAAAAAATCCCCTAAAAACCAATTTTTGGGGGGGATAATTAGGGAAAAAAAAATCCCCTAAAAACCAATTTTGGGAGGGGTAAATAGGGAAAAATCCCCTAAAATCCAATTTTTGGGAGGAGAGTAATTAGGGAAAGATCCACTAAACCCAATTTGGGGGGGAATTGGGGAAAAAATCCCCTAAAATCCAATTTTTGGGAGGGGTAATTAGGGAAAAAAATCCCCTAAAACCCAATTTTTTGGGGGGATAATTAGGGAAAAAAAAATCCCCTAAAAATCAAATTTTTTGGGAGGGGTAATTAGGGAAAAAATCCCCTAAAACCCAATTTTTTGGGAGGGGTAAATAGGGAAAACCCCCCGAACCCGCTGTGTTTTTTGGGGGGGTTTCTCACCATCCTCCTCCTCGCGGTGGTTGCTCAAGGGCAGGGTGTAGATGGAGCGGGTCAAGGCCTGGGGCGCCCCCTCGTGGACATTTCGGGGATTCTCGGGCGCGTTCCGGGGGCTTTGGGCTCGGGCGGTGCCGTTGCCCGCGGGGAGGTGACAAAATTTGCCGGTGAATTGGGGGGGGCAGAGGCAGCGCTGGGGGTGGGCGCAGACGCCCCCGTTCCGGCAGAGCAGCGGGCACAGAACTGCGAGAGGGGAGAGAGGGGGGACAGCCCGAAATTAGGGAGCGGGCCCACAAAAAAAACCAAAAAAAAAACCTAAAAAACGGCCCTAAAATCCCAAAAATAACCCCAAAAAGAACCAAAAATGACCCCAAAATAACCCCAAAAATAACCCTAAAAAAGCACCCTAAAATCCCCAAAATAACCCCAAAAAAACCCAAAAATAACCCCAAAAATAACCCTAAAAAACCACCCTAAAATCCCCAAAATAACCCCCAAAATAACCAAAAAATGACCCAAAAATAACCCCAAAAATAACCCTAAAAAAGCACCCTAAAATCCCAAAAATAACCCCAAAAATAACCCCCAAAAATAACCCCCAAAATAACCTAAAAATGACCCCAAAAAATCCCCAAAATAACCTAAAAATAAGCCCCAAAATAACCCAAAAATAACCCAAAAATAACCCCAAAAATAACCCAAAAGTAACCCAAAAGTAACCCCCAAAATAACCCCCAAAATAACCCAGAAATAACCCCAAAAATAACCCATAAATAACCCCAAAAATAACCCATAAATAACCCCAAAAATAACCCCCAAAATATCCCCAAAATAACTCCCAAAATAATCCCAAAAATAACCCCAAAATAACCCAAAAACAACCCCCAAAATAACCCGAAAAATAACCCAAAAGTATCCCAAAAAACCCCAAAAATAACTCCAAAAATGACCCCAAAATAACCCCAAAATAACCCCCAAAGTAACCCCAAAAATAAACAAAAAATAACCCCAAAATAACCCCCAAATAACCCCAAAAATAACCCCCAAATAACCCCCAAATAACCCCAAAAATAACCCCCAAATAACCCCCAAATAACCCCAAAATAACCCAGAAACAACCCCCAAAATAACCTGAAAAATAACCCAAAAGTATCCCAAAAAACCCCAAAAATAACCCCCAAAATAACCCCAAACTAACCCCAAAAATAACCCCAAAAAAACCCCAAAAATAACCCCAAAAAATTTGTGGGGGGGTCTCGGCCATTTGGGGGTGGTCCAGAACAATTGGGGGGGTCCCAGCCGGGTTTTTGGGGCGGATCCAGGACATTTTGGGGAGGCTCCAGGATGAAACCCCGACATTTGTGGGGGGATCCGAGGTGGGTCCGGATTTGGGGGGGGGTCCCGGATATTTGGGGGTGCTCCCAGACATTTTGGGGGGGGGTCCCCGCGCGGTTTTTGGGGCGGGGGGGGCCCCCGGGGCCGCCTGGTCCCGAGCTCTGCCGGGGCCCCTCTGTTTATGTTGCGAATTCCCGGCGATTTCCAGCGGGACCCGATGAGCTCATGGAGCTGCGTGGGTGGGATGGGGCCCACCCTTCCCCCGAGCCCCCCCGGGAGGGGCCCTAAAACCCCCCCCGACCCCAAAAACCCCTCCCCAAAAAGCCGGGAGGGGCCCCCGAACCCCCGCCCTAAAAACGGGAGAAAAAGGGGTTTTGGTATTGGGGGTTTTGGGGGGAGCTGCGAGGGTGGGATGGGGCCCACCCCGATCCGAACCCCCCTGGGAGGGGCCCCCCGGCCCTAAACTCCCCCCCCCGACCCCAAAATCTCCATCCCAAAAAACGGGGATGGGTGCCCAAACCCCCACCCTAAATATGGAAGGAAAAAAGGAAAAATGGGGTTTTTTTTTTTTGATTGTTGGGGTTTTTGGGAGATCTCACCCCAAAACGCCCGTGGGGAATTTGGGAGGAGAATTTGGGATTTGGGGAGGTGGAGCCCAAAATGTCCTGGGAGCCCCCTCAAGACCACGAACCCCAAAATTTGTGGGGGGTTCAAACTTTCCCCCCCCCCCAACAGCAAAAAGGGAATTTGGGGGTGTTGGAGACCCCCCCGCACCCCAAATCCTCCATGGACCCCAAAATTCCCCCCGTACCCTAAAAACTCCCGAACCCCAAAATGTCTCAGCTTCCCCCATGTCCCAAATCCCTCCTGAACCCCAAATCCTCCACCCCAAATCCCTCCCGCACCCCAAAATCCTCCCATGTCCCAAATCCCTCCCTCCATCCCAAACTCCCTCCTATCCCAAAAACTCCCCAGCACCCCAAAATCCCCCAAACCCCCCAAACTCTCCCTTCCCAAAACTTTGGGATCTCGACTCCCCTTCCCCAAAATCCTAAATCCCCCCCAAGCCCCCAAACCTCCGTGCACCCCAAAATCCCCTCAAATCCCAAACTCCCCCTTCCCAAAACTTTTGGATCTCAACTCCCCCTCCTTAAAAATCCAAATCCCCCCAAAATCCCAAACTCCCCCCACTCAAAACTTTTGGATCCCGAGCCCCCCTCCCCAAAATCCCAAAACCCCCAAATCCCAAACTCCCCAAAATCCCAAACTCCCCAAAATCCCAAAAACTCCGCCCTCCCAAACCTTCCTGATCTCGAATCCCCCTCCCCAAAATCCCAAAATCCCCCAAATCCCAATCCCTCCCCCCCACCCAAACCTTCCGGATCCCGAACCCCCTCCCCAAAAAACCCCCCAAAAAACCCCAAAGCCCCCCCAAATCCCAAACTCCTCCCCCCAAATCCCAAACTCCCTTCCCAAACCTTCCAGATCCCGACTCCCCCTCCCCAAAATCCCAAACTCCCCCCACTCAAAACTTCCGGATCCCCAACTCCCCCTCCCCAAAACCCCAAATGCCAAAACTTTCGGATCCCGGCCCCCCCTCCCCAAAGATCCCAAACTCCTCCTTCCCAAACCTTCCGGATCCCGACACCCCCTCCCCAAACCCCCCCAAAAAACCCCAAAAACCCCAAAAACCCCAACGCCCCCCCCCCGCACTGACCGAGCCTGAAGCCGCTGCCCGGGGGGGGGGCCCGGCCGCTCTCCAGCACCACCACGGTGGCGTTGTCGCCGCCGCGTCCCCCCCCCGCCACCGCCGGGTCCCCCCGGGGGCGACACCCGGGGACGCAGCGACCCCCGGGGCAGCAGCGGGGGGGGGGAGAAACGGACCCGGAGGCGGGGGGGGCCGGGACCCCCGGGGGGGGACACGGGGGAGCCCGGGGCGGGCAGCGCCAGCACCGCCGCGAGCAGCAGAGCGGGGCCCAGCGCCATCGGGGGGGGACACAGGGGACACTGAGGGGGGGGGGACACGGGGGGGACACGGCGGGAACCGCCCCGGGGTGGGGCCGGGCCGGGGGGGGGCGGGGAAACGCCCGGGGTGGGGCCCGAGCATCGCCCACCCCCCCCCCCAGCCCCGAGATGGGGACACGGGGGGGACACGGGGCGGGACAAGGGGGGGGACATGAGGGACAGAATGGGGGGGACACGGGGGGGACAGGAGGGGGACAAGGGGGGGACAGCAGGGACAGAATGGGGGGGACACGGGGCGGGACAAGGGGGGGACAGCAGGGATAGAATGGGGGGGACACGGGGGGGACAGGAGGGGGACAAGGGGGGGACAGCAGGGACAGAATGGGGGGGACACGGGGCGGGACATGAGGGGGACAAGGGGGGGACATGAGGGACAGAATGGGGGGGGACAGGAGGGACAGAATGGGGGGGACACGGGGGGGACACGGGGCGGGACAAGGGGGGGACAGGAGGGACAGAATGGGGGGGACACGGGGGGGACACGGGGCGGGACAAGGGGGGGACAGGAGGGACAGAATGGGGGGGACAGGAGGGACAGAATGGGGGGGACACGGGAGGGACAGAGAGGACAGAATGGGGGGGACACACGGGGGGGGACACGGGGCGGGACAAGGCGGGGACATGGGGGGGGCATGAGGGACAGAATGGGGGGACACAGGGGACAGAATGGGGGGGACACGGGGGGGACATAATGGGGACAGATCGGGGGGGACACGGGGGTGGGGGAAACGGGATTTAATGGGGGGGACCCGGGGCAGGAGATGAGGGACAGAATGGGGGGGACACGGGGGACAGAATGGGGGGGACATGGAGGGGACAAGTGGGGGGACACGGAGGACAAACCGGGGGGGACACAGGACTCATAACGAGGGGGAGGGAAGGGGGGGCACGGGGATGACAAAGGGGGACACGCGGGGGTGTCACGGGACACTGGGGAGGCTGGCGGGGGACGGGGACATGTGGGACATGGGTGTCACCCCCTCCCCGGTGCCACACGTGCCACCCCGGGCGCTCCTGGGGTGGCGAGGAAATGCCAGCGGTGCCAGCCCGCCCCCGCAGGATCCGGTGACAACGGGCTGGGGACAATGGGGACACTGGGGACACCGGGAGAGCCCGGACTGGGGACAATGGGGACAATGGGGACACCGGGAGAGCTGGGACTGGGGACAATGGGGACACCGGGACAGCCCGGACTGGGGACAATGGGGACACTGGGGACACCGGGAGAGCCGGGACTGGGGACAATGGGGACACCGGGACATTGGGAGAGCCGGGACTGGGGACACCGGGACTGGGGACACTGGGGACACTGGGGGAGCCGGGACAGCCCGGACTGGGGACACTGGGGACCCTACCCCAGCCCATTCTGGGGACCCTGGGGACCCTACCCCAGCCCATACTGGGGACACTGGGGACCCCACCCCAGCTCATACTGGGGACACTGGGACCCTCTCCCAGCCCATTCTGGGGACCCCGGTGCCACCCCCGAGGTGACCCCAGCCCCAGTGCCGGGCTGTGGGGCCGGGGTGTGGCCGCGCCGTTGTCACCGCGGTGCCACCTGTGCCCGGCACAGCAGGTTCCTCTGGCAGCGGCCACCGGAAGTGGCGCTGCCGCCGCGATGCCACAGCGATGCCACAGCGATGCCACAGCGGTGTCACAGCGATGTCACAGCGGTGTCACAGCGATGCCACAGCGGTGCCACGCCGGTGCCACGCCGGTGCCACCGCGATGTCGCACCGGTGTCACCGAGCGGGGCTGGCACCGTCCCCAGCGCGGGGGGCGCGGCCCTGGCCCGGCTCCCGCTGTCCCCGGTGTCCCCTCGGGCCCTTTGTCCCCTTTGTCCCCGTTGTCGCCGCTGTCCCCTCCCGGGCCGGATCCGGGCGGGAATTGCTGGGCCCTGACTCAGGCCGGGCTCAGCCGGAATTTCTGCCCCGGCCGCCCCTCCCTGGCCGGGATCGCCGGGATCGCCGGTGCCGGTGCCATAAATCCGGGCCAGGCACGGGCCAGGCACGGGAGGGGACGGGACAGGGACCGGGACAGGGACCGGGACAGGGACCGGGACAGCGATGGAGCCGCTGGAGCTGCCCCGGGTAGGAACGGGTGGGAGCGGGATGGGATCGGTGCCATAAACCCGGGAGGGACCGGGACGGGACCGGGATGGGGACAGGGATGGGGACAGGGATGGGGACAAGAACAGGACCGGGACAGGGACAGGGATGGGGACGGGGAAGGGGACAAGAACAGGACCGGGACAGGGATGGGGACAGGGACAGGGACGGGGATGGGGACAAGAACAGGACTGGGACAGGGATGGGGATGGGGACAAGAACAGGACTGGGACAGGGACAGGGACAGGGACAAGAACAGGACCGGGACAGGGATGGGGACGGAGCCGCTGGAGCTGCCCCGGGTAGGAACGGGTGGGATCGGGATGGGACTGGGCTGGGATTGGGACTGAGATCTCCACAGTGTCCCCAAGGTGTCCCTGTCCCCTCAGGGTTCCCATTGTTTGTGGTGTCCCCAGGGTGTCCCTGTGATGTCCCTGCAGGGTTCCTGCTGCTCCTCGGGGCTGGGGCTGTCCCTGGAGATGTCCCCAGGGCTGTCCCCAAGGTGTCCCTGTCCCCTCAGGGTTCCCATCGTTTCTGGTGTCCCTGTGATGTCCCCAAAGTGTCCCCAGGGTGTCCCTGTCCCTGCAGGGTCCCTGTGATGTCCCCAGGGCTGTTCCCAGGGTGTCCCCAGGGTGTCCCCACGGTGTCCCTGTCCCCGCAGGGTCCCTGTGATGCCCCCAGGGTGTCCCCACGGTGTCCCTGTCCCTGCAGGGTCCCTGTGATGTCCCTAGAGTGTCCCCATGGAGTCCCTGTCCCTGCAGGGTCCCTGTGATGTCCCTAGGGCTGTCCCCAGGGTGTTCCCAGGGTGTCCCTGTGATGTCCCCAAGGTGTCCCTGTCCCCGCAGGGTCCCTGTGATGCCCCCAGGGCTGTCCCCAGGGTGTCCCCAGGGTGTCCCCAAGGTGTCCCTGTCCCCGCAGGGTTCCCATTGTTTGTGGTGTCCCCACAGTGTCCCCACGGTGTCCCTGTCCCCGCAGGGTCCCTGTGATGTCCCCAGGGCTGTCCCCAGGGCTGTCCCCAGAGTGTCCCCAAGGTGTCCCTGTCCCCGCAGGGTTCCTGCTGCTCCTCGGGGCCGGGGCTGTCCCTGGAGATGTCCCCAGGGCTGTCCCCAGGGCTGTCCCCGGGGGGCTGTGAGGAGAGCGAGGCCTGGCTGGGCCCGGGGGGGTCCCCCCGGCCGTGTCCCCACGGAGCCCCCGCCGAGGGAGTGGCCCCGGAGCTGCGAGGTACGGCCGGACCCTGAACCCTGAATCCTGACCCCAAACCCTAAACCCCAAATCATCCCAAACCCTGAATCCTGACCCCAAACCCCAAACCCTGACCACAAATCATCCCAAATCTGGATCCCAAATCCCAATCCCAGAGCCCCCGACGGAGGATGACACCTACTGCCACTGCCTGTCCCAAAGCCCAAACCCTAAATCATCCCTGACCCCAAATGCTGACCCCAAATCATCCCTGACCCCAAATCCCAAACTCCAAACCCCAAACGCAGAGCCCCCGATGGAGGATGACACCTACTGCCACTGCCTGTCCCAAACCCCAAACCCCAAATTATCCCAAATCATCCCAAATCATCCCAATCCCAGAGCCCCCCGACGGAAGATGACATCTACTGCCGCTGCCTGTGCTGATCCCAAACCCCAAACCCCAAACCCCAAATGCTGACCCCAAATGCAGACCCCAAACCCCAAATGCAGACCCCAAACCCCAAACGCTGACCCCAAACCCCAAACGCAGAGCCGCCCACAGAGGATGACATCTACTGCCGCTGCCTGTCGCGCACGCTGTGCCACACGGCCACGCCCGTCACCGTCGGGTTCTACGCGCCCTGCGGGCACCGCCTCGAGTCCCTGCTGGCCAAGGTCACCGGTGCGTGTGGAACTCACCGATTATTGGGAATTGTTCGGGAATTGTTCGGGAATTGTTCGGGAATTGTTCGGGAATGTGGGAATTCGGAGTGGAGGATTTGGGGTTTTCTGTGCCCGGTGTTGTTTCCTCAGGGTTTGGGGTCTCATCGCAGTCCCAAATTTCATTGCAATCCTTAAGTCAGGCCCAAATCCCACCCCCAGTCCCAAATCCCATCCCAAATCCCAAATCCCATCCCAAATCCCAAATCCCAAATCCTAAATCTCATCTCAATCCTAAATCCCATACTAGGCCCAAATCCCACCGCAGCTCCAAATTCCCATCCCAACCCCAAATCCCACCCCAGTCCCATCCAACCCAACCCAACACCATCCCAATCCCAACCCAAACCCAACCCAACCCAACGCAATCCAAATTCCAACGCAACGCAACACAACCCAACCCAACCCAACCCAAACCCCATCCAATCTAAACCCCAACCCAACCACAAATCCCACCCCAAAAACCACCCCAAATCCCAAATGCCAACTCATCCCATGCCAACCCATCCCAAAACCAACCCAACCCAATGCAATCCAAATTCCAACCCAACCGAACTCAACACAACCCAACCCAACCCAACTGAACTCAACACAACCCAACCCAAGCAAAGCCTCGTCCAATCTAAACCCCAACCCAACCCCAAAAACCACACCAAAAACCACCCCAAACCCCAAATCCCAACCCAAACCCCAAATCCCACCCCAAAACCGACCCCAAATCCCAAATGCCACCAATCGCTCGTTGCCAGCCTTCATGCGTGAGGAGATGGCGCAGCGCGAGGCGGCCGAGCTGCGCCGGGGCCAGCGCCGGCCGCGCAGCCCCCACGGCTGGGGCCTGCTGGAGGCCCTGTGGCTCCTGGCCTTCTACGAGCCCGTGGTGACCGAGGGCCACCTGAGGAGGAAGAACCTGGAGTTCATCTTCATCCGCTTCAGCGCCTGGGAGTTCGCGGGCTGCGACAAGCTCTGGGCGGGGCTGGTGACCACGCTGTGCCACCACGTGCGCCAGCACTTCGGCGCGCTGCCGCTCAGCGTCTTCCACGTGCTGGGCTCGCGGCCGCGCTTCGCCTCCGGCTTCTCGCAGCGGGAGTGGATCCTCAAGAAAGGGACCTGCCTGAGGCTCTGGGGGCTGCTGCTGGTGCTGGCCGTGGGCATCGCCATCCTGCTGGTGGCGCTGCTGGTGCCGGGCATCAAGGATCACCACGCTCTGAAGGTGGTGGGCAGCGCCGTGGCGTCGCTGTCGGGCTCCTCGCTGGTGCTGGGAGCGCTGTCCATCCTCAAGAACTTCCTGGTCAGCGAGAAGAAGAAGATCGAGCGCTTGACCAACAGCGACAGGTTCGCCGGGCAGCTGGGGTTCATGAGCAAGATCCGCGAGGAGGTCGAGGTCTTGGTGGATTATTTGGCCTTCATGGAGGTCTTCGAGCGCCGCCGGCTGCGCGTGGTGATGGAGATCACCAGCCTGGACCTCTGCTACCCGGAGAAAGTGGCCGGGGTGTTCAACGCCATGGCCACGCTGCTGTCGGACGCCAACGCGCCCTTCATCTTCCTGCTGGCCGTGGACCCCAGCGTCATCGTGCCGTGCCTGGAGCAGACGGGCTGCATGAAGGGGCTGGCGGACAACGGGTACCTGTACCTGAACCGCGCCGTCACGCTGCCCTTCTCCATCCCCGAGATGGGCGCCCGCTCCCGCCTGCGCAGCGTGGCCGCCGCCATCCAGACGCGTGAGGACCTCATGTACCGAATCATCGCCGACAACGTCGCCAAAACCCGCGGCGGCGGCTGCGGCGGCGGCGGCTGCGGCGCGGTCGCGCCGGCACCCAGCTGGAAGGAGGCGGACTCCGAGGCGGTGGCGTGGATCCACGAGGCGTTCCGGTGTCTCCACGACGCCTCGGACGTCCTGAGCCGGTACCTGCCGGAGAACGGCGCCAACGTGCGGCGCATCGTCAACACCATCCCCATCACGCTGCGGCTGCTGCTGCACCGCGTTGCCGGTGGTGCCGGCACCGTGGCCGAGCTGTCGCCGCGTGCCGCGGCCGCCTGGGTGGTGCTGGCCGACCGCTGGCCCTGCCGCCTCAGCTGGACGCTGCAGTGCCTGGAGGACGCCGGGCAGGGCCACGCGGCGGCGGCGGAACATTCCGGAAGGTCCCTCTGGAGCGTGTTCCAGGAGCACGCCGGGGAGCTGAGCGCGCTGCGGCAGCCGCTGGGCAAAGTGCTGAGCCTGGACGCCGACCCCGAGCTCTTCCAGGCCTTCCTGGCGCGGGATTTCCCCTTCGGCGCCGGCGAGGCGCGGCAGCTGCTCGGCGTCACCGTCAACCTGGACCACTCCATCCGGCAGCAGATGGGGCTGCTGAGGGCCATGGCCCGGCTGGGCAAGGCCGCACCCGTGTCCCGGGGCGTGCAGTGCGTCCCACACGGTGCCCGGTGATTTGGGATTGGGATTTGGGGATTGGGGATTGGGGATTGGGGATTTGGGGATTTGGGATTGGGATTTGGGATGGTTCCATGGCAGCAGATGGGGCTGCTGAGGGCCATGGCCCGGCTGGGCAAGGCCGCACCCGTGTCCCGAGGGGTGCAGTGCGTCCCACACGGTGCCCGGTGATTTGGGATTGGGATTTGGGGATTTGGGATTTGGGGATTTGGGATTGGGGATTTTGGGATTTGGGGATTTGGGGTTTGGGGATTGGGGATGGTTCCATGGCAGCATATGGGGCTGCTAAGGGCAATGGCCCGGCTGGGCAGGGCTGCACCCGTGTCCCGAGGGGTGCAGTGCGTCCCACACGGTGCCCGGTGAACCCCACCAGGAATGGGATTTGGGGATTTGGGGATTTGGGATTGGGATTTGGGGATTTGGGGATTGGGGATTTGGGGATTTGGGATGGGGGATTTGTGATTTGGAATCAGGAATAGCATCAGTTTTTGGGATTTGGGATCGGGATTGGGGATTTGGGATCGGGAACAACATCACAGTTTGGGATCGAGAATGGCATCAGGATGTGGGATTTGGGACTGGAATCGAGATTTGTGATTTGGGATCAGGAATAGCATCAGGATTGGGATTTGGGATTTGAGATTTGTGATTTGGGATTGGAAATGGCACCGGGATTTGGGAATGAGATTTGGGATCAGGAACGGCATCAGGATTTAGGATCAAGAATGGCATCAGGGTTTTGGGATTAGGATCAGCATCGAGATTTGTGATTTGGGATCAGGAATGGGATCAGGATTGGGGATTTGGGATCAGGGTTGGGGATTTGGGACCAAGAATGGGATCCAGACCCCGCCAAGGGCAGGGAGAGCTCCTGGAGGATTTGGGATCTTTTTAGGGGAACGGGGATTGGGAATTCTGGGGTTTTATCCCCAGTCTGTGATCCTGGAGAGCACTGGGAACACCCAGAGGAAATTCCTGGGTTTTATTCCAGGTTTTTGGGGATGCTGGAAGGGTTTGGGATGATCCAGAGGGAATTCCGGGCTTTCATTCCCAGTTTTTGTCACTGGGAAACGCTGGGAGGGGACTGGGATGATCCAGGGGTATCCCAAAGCTCCCGGAATCCAAGGGAATTTTGATCCCTCCCGGGAAGCCCCAACCCTGAGACATTTTTGGGATCTCCTCCCAAAATCCGTGTCCTTTTGGGAGGGAAAATTGGGAGAAAATCCCCCCCAAAAAAGCCCCAAATTTGGGCCATGCCCAAACCCCATCCCACCCAGAATTCCCGGGAAAATTCCCCGGGATCGTCCCCCAATAAACCAAGTCCCACCCTTGGCTCCGTATTTTGGGATTTTTTTGGGATTTCCCACCTGTTCTGGGGTTTTTTGGGGTTTTTTTTGGGGATCTTCACCCCCTCCCTACCCACCCCCCCAACAAATCCATGAATTCCCCAACTCCTGGAATTTCGGGATGAGCCCCCAAAAAGAGGGCGGGTGACGAATGCAGAATTCCTTTAATTAGAAAACAGCCGTTAACAAAAATTCCACCACGGGGAAAAACGAGGGGGGAAAAAAAACCGAAAAAAAAACGGGGAAAAGACAGGGAAAAAAAAAACCAACAACAAACCCCAAAAACCAAACCCAGAGGAAACACCAGCAAAAATTCCCGGCCAGAAAATCGGGAATATCCCCCCGGAATTCCAATCCCCCCCATCCCCCCAACGCAGCTCCCTGAAAGATTTTATTGCACTTAAGAAAGAAAAGCGACCCCCGGGAATCTCCCCGGGAATTCCGGGAATTTTTTGGGAATTCCGGGCCGGGAGATCCCCGTGGGAATCGCTGGATTTCCCCTGCCCCGACACCTCTGGGAATTTGGGATGAGCGAGGAATTCCAGCCCCTCCCCGCCCCCTTTTCCACCTTCCCCGTTTTCCCGGGAATTCTGCGGCTGGTGATAAATAGAGACGGGAAAAAATGGGGAAAAATAACAGAAAAAAGGGGGAAAAAACAGGGAAAAAATTCCCAAAGAAACCAAAGCCACCGGAAAGGGAGGGAAATTAAAAATAAATAAAGCGCGGGGGCTGCGGGAGCAGCCGATCCCGGGGTTTTTTTTTCTCTTTTTTAGGGACGGAATTCCCAAATCGCCGCCGCTCCGGCCGCTCCCGGTCCCTGCGATCCCGCCGGGAATGGCCCCGGGAATTCCCGGCGGATCGGGAAGGCCGAGCCCCGCCTCCTGCCCCGCCCCCGGGGAGGCGGGGAAAAATCGGGAAAAATCGGGAAAAGAAGTCGGGAAAAAAAAAAAAAATAAAAATCCGGTTTTGTTTTGTGTTTCGTGGTTTTTTGTTTTTTTTGTTTTGTTTTTTTTTTTCCTTTCCCAAGCAAAGTCCCGAAATTCCCGAGGTTTGGTTGGAATCTTGTGCGGAGTTGGGGAGAGGGGGAAAAGCTCCGGAGCCTCCCCCTCCAGGACCTGTGGGGAGAGCGGGAAGGGCAGGGCTGGGAAAATTCCAGGAAATTCCCGGAAAATTCCCAGGAAAATTCCCAGGAAAATTCCCGGGAAAATTCCCAGGAAATTCCAGGAAATTCCCAGGAAAATTCCCGGAAAATTCCCAGGAAATTCCAGGAAATTCCCGGAAAATTCCCAGGAAAATTCCCGGAAAATTCCCAGGAAATTCCAGGAACATTCCTGGGAAATTCCCAGGAAAATTCCCGGAAAATTCCCAGGAAATTCCAGGAAATTCCCAGGAAAATTCCCAGGAAAATTCCCAGAAATTCCCAGGAAAATTCCCAGGAAAATTCCCAGGAAATTCCCAGGAAAATTCCCAGGCAAATTCCCGGAATTCCAGTGTTTCCCCGGCTCTCTCACCTGCGCTCACAGCGGCTCCGGAGCCGTGTCCTGGCTGGCCTCGAGGAGCAGCTCCTGCAGCTCCTGCTCGTTCCTGGAGCAGCTCAGCTCTGGGGGAAGGAGCGCGGAACGTTCTGGAACCAGCCCGGGACTCCCAGCCCGGAAATTTGAGATTTTCCTGCTCCTTTCCCAGTTTTTCCTCATCCCAACCCGCGGATTTCGGATTTTCCTGCTGCTTTTCCCAGTTTTTCACCCCCATTCCTGCTGCATTCCCAGTTTTCCCTGTTCCCAACCCAAGGATTTGGGATTTTCCCGCTGCTTTTCCCAGTTTCTCCAGTCCTTCTCCCACTTTTTCACCCCAATTCCAAACTCCCGGGAATTCCCCAAAGCCCGGGAACTCCCTCGGGAATTTGGGATCTCAGAACCCCCAGAAATTTGGGAATCTCAGAACTCCCGGGAATGCCCTCGGGAATGTGGGAATTTGGGAATGTGGGGATGTGGGAATGAGGGAATTTGGGGATGTGGGGATGTGGGGAATTTGGGGATGTGAGAATGTGGGAATTTGGGGAATTTGGGGATGTTGGGGATGTGGGGATGTGGGAATTTGGGAATGTGGGGAATGTTGGGGATGTGGGAATGTGGGAATTTGGGGAATTTGGGGACGTGGGGATCTCACCGTGCTCGGCCGCGCACGTTCCCGATTTCCCGTCGCCCTCCGGGCCCGGCTCCGGCAGCGCCCGGGCGAAATCGGCCTTGAGCCCGTTGGGAAGCGGCGAATCCCGGGAGGGGCTCCCACATGGAATTCCCTCGGAGGCGCCCGCCCGGCGCGGCCGCGGCTCGGGAACGGCCCCGGATCCGACGGGAACGGCCCCGGATCCATCGGGAATGGCTCCAAATCCATCGGGAACGGCCCCAGATCCGACGGGAACGGCCCCGGATCCGACGGGAACAGCCCCGGATCCATCGGGAACGGCTCCAAATCCATCAGCAACGGCCCCGGATCTGATGGGAACGGTCCCGGATCCATCGGGAACAGCCCCGGATCCGACGGGAACGGCCCCGGATCCATCGGGAACGGTCCCGGATCCGATGGGAACGGGCCCAGATCCATCGAGAACGGGCCCAGATCCATCAGGAACGGCCCTGGACCCATCGGGAACAGCCCTGGATCCATCAGGAATGGCCCCAGATCCAACGGGAACGGCTTCAAATCCATCGGGAAAAACCCCGGATCCATCAGGAAGGGCCCCAGATCCAATGGGAACGGCCCTGGATCCATCAGGAACAACCCCAGATCCATCTGGAACGATGGGAACAGCTCCAGGTCCATCGGGAACAACCCCAGATCCAACAGGAACAGCCCTGGATCCATCAGGAACAGCCCCAGATCCATCGGGAACAACCCTGGATTCATCAGGAATTGTCCCAGATCCATCGGGAACGGCTCCAGATCCATCAGGAATTGTCCCAGACCCTTCAGGAATGACCCTGGATCCTTCAGGAACAACCAAAGATCCACCAAGAACGACCCCAGATCCTTCAGGAACAGTCTCAAATCCATCAGGAAGGGCCCTGGATCCATCGGGAACGGCCCCAGATCCACCGGGAACGGCCCCAGATCCATCAGGAACAGCCCCAGATCCATCGGGAACAGCCCCAGAGCCACCGGGAACGGCCCCAGATCCATCAGGAACAGTCCCAGATTCCTTGGGAACGACCCCAGATCCTTCTGGAACGTTCTCCACCCGCGTCACCACGAAGATCTTGCGGCCTCTGCCGGGGCTGGAGACGGAAATCCTGCGCTCGCCGTTCCCGGAATTCCCGGAATCCCCGGAAGATTCCACAACCTCCCTCGAGTCCTTCCCATCCTCCTCCTCCTCCTCCTCGGTGTCCGAGCTGGAATCTCCGGCCGGGGCCGCGTTGCCGTTCTCCTCCGGGCCGGGGGAAGCGCCCTCCGGAATTTCGGGAATTTCGGGATCGGCGCCGGAGATCTCGGCCATGGAGGCCGAGTGCTGGAGCTGCTGCTCCTTCTCCTCCTTCTCCTTGGCCAGGATGAAATTCCGCTTGCAGCCGTTCTGGATCTCGGCCAGCAGCGCCTTCTGCGTCTCCAGGAAGCTCTTGACCTGCCGGGGGAATCCGGGAATGGCGGGAAAATCCTCGGGAATGGCGGGAAAATCCTCGGGAATGGCGGGAAAATCCCCGGGAATGGCGGGAAAACCCCCGGGAATTCCCTCGGGAGTGGCGGGAGAGGAGTCGGGGTGAGGGAATTGGGGCGCTGGCCCTTTAAGAGGGGATTTTGGGGTTGGAATTGTGGAATTTTTGGACTGGAATTGTGGAATTTTGGGGTTGGAATTTGGGAATTTAGGGGGTTTTTCCCAAGATTTTGGGGGTTTTGAATTTGTGATTCCAGCGGGGCTTGGGGAATGAAGATTCTCAGAATTCCCAGAATTCTTGGTGGGAAATGAGGAAATCCAGAGAATCGGGACTCAAAAATGGATTTTTTCCCACTGGAAAAAGAGGCCAAAAATGTGGGAATTGGGTCCTGGAGATTCCCAAAATCCCTGGAGTTGGGAATGATCCATCAGCCCCAAAATCCCCAAGGCTCAGCTCCTGGGAGAATTTGGCAAATCCAAGAAAAAAAAACCTGGAAAAATCACCAGGAACCAGCCCCAAAATCCCAGGGATTTTCAGGAATTTTGGGAAATCTTTCAGGAATTCCATGAATATTTTGGGGAATTTCAAGAATTCCAGGCTCAGACCCCAAACCCCCAACACCTCAGGCACCGTTTCCCGCTCCGGGAACGCCTCAGAACCGCGGGGATTTTTTGGGTAACTCCCGGAATTTCCTGGGAATTCGGTGGATTTTTTGAGAATTCCAGGAATTTTTTTGGGAATCCCATGGATTTTCAGGAATTCCAGGACTCATCACCTCCTCCTTGGACTTGTGCCCAAATCCCAAACCCCTAAACCCCCAATACTTCAGGCACCGTTCCCTGCTCCGGGAACGCCCCAGAACTGTGGGGATTTTTTGGGAATTCCTGGAATTTTTGGTGAATTCCAGGAATTTTTTGGGGAATCCCAGGAATTTTCAGGAATTCCAGGACTCATCACCTCCTCCTTGGGCTCGTGCCCAAATCCCAAACCCCAAACCCCAAACCCCCAACACCTCAGGCACCGTTCCCCGCTCCAGGAACGCCCCAGAACCGCGGGGATTTTTTGGGCAACTCCCGGAATTTCCTGGGAATTCCGTGGGGTTTTTTGGGAATGCCGGGACTCACGGGCTCCTTCTTGGGCTCGCGGTCGAGGTCGAGGCGCAGCAGGGAGTGGTTGACGCGCAGGGCCAGGGACAGCGCCATGAGCCCCCCGGTCTTGATGTCGTTCTCGCGCAGGTCCAGGCGCAGCAGCCGAGGGCTCTCGGCCACGAACTCGGCCACGGCCACGGCCCCTGAGGGCACAAAACCCCGGGAATTGGGGGGAAATCATGGGAATGCTGGGGGGAAATCATGGGAATTTGGGGGGAAAATCCCTGGGAATTTGGGGGGGAAATCCCTGGGAATTTGGGGGGAAAAATCCCGGGAACTGGGGGGAAATCCTGGGTGTGTGTGTGGGGAAAATCCTGGGAGTCTGGGGGAAAAAAGCCTGGGAATTTTGGGGGGAAAATCCTGGGAATTGGGGGGGAAAAAATCCCGGGAATTTGGGGGGAAAAAATCCCGGGAATTTTGGGGGGAAAATCCCTGGGAATTGGGAGGGAAATCCTGGGGGTGTGTGTGGGGAAAATCCTGGGAGTCTGGGGGAAAAAAGCCTGGGAATTTTGGGGGCAAATCCTGGGAATTGGGGGGAAAAAATCCCGGGAATTTGGGGGGAAAATCCTGGGAATTGGGGGGGGAAAAATCCCGGGAATTTGGGGGAAAAAAAGCCGGGGAATTTTGGGGGGTAATTCTGGGAATTTGGGGGAAAAAAGCCTGGGAATCTTGGGGGAAAATCCCTGGGAATTTGGGGGAAAAAAATCCCAGGAATTTGGGGGAAAAATCCAGGGAAATTGAGGGGAAATCTGGGGATGTGGGGGGAAAAATCCTGGGAATTTGGGGGGGGGAAATCCTGGGTCTGTGGCAGGAAAAAATCCCGGGAATTTGGGGGGAAAAAATCCCGGGAATTTTGGGGGGAAAATCCCTGGGAATTGGGAGGGAAATCCTGGGGGTGTGTGTGGGGAAAATCCTGGGAGTCTGGGGGAAAAAAGCCTGGGAATTTTGGGGGCAAATCCTGGGAATTGGGGGGAAAAAATCCCGGGAATTTGGGGGGAAAATCCTGGGAATTGGGGGGGGAAAAATCCCGGGAATTTGGGGGAAAAAAAGCCGGGGAATTTTGGGGGGTAATTCTGGGAATTTGGGGGAAAAAAGCCTGGGAATCTTGGGGGAAAATCCCTGGGAATTTGGGGGAAAAAAATCCCAGGAATTTGGGGGAAAAATCCAGGGAAATTGAGGGGAAATCTGGGGATGTGGGGGGAAAAATCCTGGGAATTTGGGGGGGGAAATCCTGGGTCTGTGGCAGGAAAAAATCCCGGGAATTTTGGGGGGAAATTCCAGGAATTTGGGGGAAAATCTGGGGAACTGAGGGGAATTCCGGGAAACTGGGGTGGAGCCCCAGGAATTGTGGAAAAATCCCAGGAAGTCAGGAAGAAATCCAGGGAATGGGGGAAATCCCAGGAAATCAGGAGGAAATTTGGAAAAGATTCCGGCTCCAGAGGCTCAAATCAACTTCTCCAAGCCCATCCCAACTTTGCCATCCCAACTTTCCCAAGCCCATCCCAAGTTCTTCAAACTCATCCCAACTTTCCCATCCCAACTTTTCCAACCTGTCCCAACTTCCCCAATCCCATCCCAACTTTCCCAAACCCATCTCAATTTTCCCAACCCCATCCCAGCCTCTCCAATCCCATCCCAACTTTCCCATCCCAATTTCCCAAGCCCAACCTGAACTTTCTCAACCCCATCTCAACTTCTCCAAGCCCAACCCAACTTTCCCAATCCCATCCCAACTTTGCCATCCCAATTTCCCAACCCCATCCCAACTTTCCCAATCCCAACTTTCCCAACCCCATCCCAACTTTCCCAAACCCAACTCAAATTTCCCATCCCAACTTTCCCAAGCCCATCCCAATCTCCCAACCCCATCTCAACTTTCCCAAGCCCATCCCAACTTTCCCATCCCAATTTCCCAAGCCCAACCTGAACTTTCTCAACCCCATCTCAACTTCTCCAAGCCCATCCCAACTTTCCCAATCCCATCCCAACTTTGCCATCCCAATTTCCCAACCCCATCCCAACTTTCCCAAACCCAACTTTCCCAATCCCATCCCAACTTTCTCAAACCCAACTCAAATTTCCCATCCCAACTTTCCCAACCCCATCCCAATCTCCCAACCCCATCCCAACTTTCCCAAGCCCATCCCAACTTTCCCATCCCAATTTCCCAAGTCCAACCTGAATTTCCCAATCCCATCCCAACTTCCCCATCCCAACTTTCCCAAGCCCATCCCAACTTTCTCAAGCCCATCCCAGTTTCCCAATCCCAGTTTCCCAAGCCCATCCCAGTGTCCCGGGCCCCCGGCGGGACCTTCGCAGGTGAGTTTGGTGCAGGCCAGCCCCAGGCGCAGCACGGAGCGGTTCCCGATCAGGCCGTTCTTCAGGTTCCGCACGCCCTCGTTCCCCACCGCGTTGTGGCCCAGGTTCAGCGTCTCCAGGCTCTGCGTGTGCGGCTGGAAAATGGGAAAATCCAGGGAAAATCCAGGGAAAATCCAGGGAAAATCCGTGGGAATATCCGTGGGAAAGCCATGGGAAAATCCGTGGGAAAGCCATGGGAAAGCCGTGGGAAAGTCCAGAGAAAATCCATGGGGAAATACATGGGAAAAGCCACGGAAAAATCCAGGGAAAACCAATGGGAAAACCCGTGGGAAAATCCGTAGGAATATCCATGGGAATGCCATGGTAAAGTCCGTGGGGAAATCCAGAGAAAAATCACGGGAATGTCCATGGGAAAATCCATGGAAAAGCCATGGGAATATCCATGGGAATCCATGAGAAAATCCATGGAAAATCAATGGAAAAGCCATGGAAAATCTGTGGAAAACCATGGAAAACCCAAGGAAAATCCATGGAAAACCAATGGAAACCCCATGGAAATGAATGAAAACCAATGGAAACCAAAAGAAAAAATCAATGGAAAACCCAAGGAAAATCCACACAAAAACCAATGGAAAACCCAAGGAAAACCCATGGGAATCAATGGAAAACCCATGGAAACCGAAGAAAATCCACAGAAAACCCCAGAAATCCACAAATTAAAACCAGAAAAAAAATCAACGTTTTTGCCCAATGGGAACGCCGGGAACGCCGCAAATTCTGGGAATTCTGGGAATGACGAGAATTGTGGGAATTTCGGGAACGCTCACCAGGGTCATGCCCAGGTAGGCCATGCCGGCGTGGCTCAGCTGGTTGTTCCACAGCACCAACGTCACCAAACCCCGGCGCTGCTCCCGCAGCCCCTCGCAGATGTAGGCCAGGCCTGGAAAAGGGGGAAATCCCGGGAATCCCGGGAATTGGGGGCTTAGACCAGGCCTGGATAATCCTGGGATTAGGCCAGGCCTGGAAAAGGGGGAAACCCCGGGAATCCCGGGAATTGGGGGTTTAGGCCAGGCCTGGAAAAGGGGGAAATCCCGGAAATCCCGGGAAATGAGGGCTTAGGCCAGGCCTGGATAATCCTGGAATTAGGCCAGGCCTGGAAAAGGGGGAAACCCCGGGAATCCCGGGAATTGGGGGCTTAGACCGGGCCTGGAAAATCAGAAATGATGGATTCCCAAACCCATTGCCATCATTCCAAAATCCCATTCTCACATTCCCAAGCCCCATTCCCGTTATTCCCACCCGAATCCATGAGGTGGTTGTTGCCCATTCCCACATTCCCACACCCCAGAATTCCCATTTTTCCCATTTTTCCCACATTTCCCACCCGAGTCCATGAGGTGGTTGTTGCCCAGGTCCAGCCCCATTCCCAAACCCTGTTTTTCCCATTTTTCCCGTTTTTCCCACCGGAATCCATGAGGTGGTTGTTGCCCATTCCCACACCCCAGAATTCCCATTTTTCCCACATTTCCCACCCGAGTCCATGAGGTGGTTGTTGCGCAGGTCCAGCCCCATTCCCACACCCCGGAATTCCCGTTTTTCCCACATTTCCCACCGGAATCCATGAGGTGGTTGTTGCCCATTCTGAAACCCCAGAATTCCCATTTTTCCTGTTTTTCCCACCGGAATCCATGAGGTGGTTGTTGCCCATTCCCAAACCCCATTCCCACATTCCCACACCCCAGAATTCCCATTTTTCACAGATTTCCCACTGGAATCCATGAGGTGGTTGTTGTGCAGGTCCAGCCCCATTCCCACACCCCAGAATTCCCATTTTTCCCACCCGAGTCCATGAGGTGGCTGTTGCCCATTCCCACACCCCATTCCCACACCCCAGAATTCCCATTTTTCCCGTTTTTCCGGTTATTCCCACCGGAATCCATGAGGTGGTTGTTGCCCATTCCCACACCCCAGAATTCCCGTTTTTCCCATTTTTCCCACATTTCCCACCGGAATCCATGAGGTGGTTGTTGCCCATTCCCACACCCCGGAATTTCCATTTTTCCCAGAATTCCCACATTTCCCACCGGAATCCATGAGGTGGTTGTTGCGCAGGTCCAGCCCCATTCCCACACCCCAGAATTCCCAGAATTCCCACATTTCCCACCGGAGTCCATGAGGTGGTTGTTGCCCAGGTCCAGCCCCATTCCCACACCCCATTTTTCCCATTTTTCCCGTTTTTCCCGTTTTTCCCACCGGAATCCATGAGGTGGTCGTTGCCCATTTCCCAAACCCCATTCCCACATTCCCACACCCCAGAATTCCTGTTTTTCCCACATTTCCCACCGGAATCCATGAGGTGGTTGTTGCGCAGGTCCAGCCCCATTCCCACACCCCATTTTTCCCGTTTTTCCCACATTTCCCACCGGAGTCCATGAGGTGGTTGTTGCCCATTCCCACACCCCGGAATTCCCGTTTTTCCCATTTTTCCCGTTTTTCCCACCGGAATCCATGAGGTGGTCGTTGCGCAGGTCCAGCCCCATTCCCACACCCCAGAATTCCCATTTTTCCCAGAATTCCCGTTTTTCCCACCGGAATCCATGAGGTGGTTGTTGCGCAGGTCCAGCCCCATTCCCACACCCCAGAATTCCCATTTTTCCCGTTTTTCCCGTTTTTCCCACCGGAATCCATGAGGTGGTTGTTGCCCATTCCCACACCCCAGAATTCCCGTTTTTCCCGTTTTTCCCACATTTCCCACCGGAATCCATGAGGTGGTTGTTGCCCAGGTCCAGCCCCATTCCCACACCCCAGAATTCCCATTTTTCCCGTTTTTCCCACATTTCCCACCGGAATCCATGAGGTGGTTGTTGCCCATTCCCACACCCCATTCCCACACCCCAGAATTCCCGTTTTTCCCAGAATTCCCACATTTCCCACCGGAGTCCATGAGGTGGTTGTTGCGCAGGTCCAGGATCTGGATGCAGCCGTTGAACTTGAGCAGGTTCCCGAGCTGGGCCGAGTCCTGCAGCCCGTTCAGTTTATTGTCAGCCAGGTACAGCTCCCGGAGAGTCACGTTCATCTTCAGGGCCGTGGCTAAAATGGGGAAAAAATGGGAAAAATGGGAAATAATGAACTGGGAATGAACTGGGAATGAACTGGGAATGGGAATGGGAATGGGAACTGAGGTTGGTGTCAGGCAGGTACAGCTCCTGCCGTGTCACGTTCATCTTCAGGGCCGTGGCTAAAATGGGGAAAAAACGGGAAAAAATGGGAAATAAATAACTGGGAATGAACTGGGAATGAACTGGGAATGGGGCAGGGCAATGGGAATGAACTGGGAATGGGGAATGGGGAATGGGAATGGGAATGGGAATGGGAACTGAGGTTGGTGTCAGGCAGGTACAGCTCCCGGAGAGTCACGTTCATCTTCAGGGCTGTGGCTAAAATGGGGAAAAAACGGGAAAAAATGGGAAAAAATGGGAAAAATGGGAAATGGGAATGGGAATGGGGACAGCACCGGGAGCGCCACCAGGAACAGCAGGAAAATGAGGGGGGAAATGGGAGAAAGGGGTGGGGAAATGGAGAAAATCAATGGAAAATGAGGGGGGAAATGGGTGGAGAAATGGGAGGAACAGATGGGAAAATGGACAGAGAAATGGGAAAAATGGGTGGGGAAGTGGGGGAAATGGGTGAGAAATCGATGGAAAAATGGGGGGAAAATGGGAAAAAATGGATGGAAAATGGATGGAAAGTGGGGCAAAAATGGGTGGAAAATGGATGGGAAAAAAAGGAAAAAAACAATGGAAAAATGGACAGAAAAATGGGAATAATCCCCCCCAGCAATTCCCAGTCCCTCCCTCCCCTCTGGAAATCCCCGAGGATCCCCCCCAGCCCCGTCCCAGCAGGAATTTGTGGATTTTTGCGGATTTTTGCGGATTTTTGTGGATTTTTGTGGATTTTTGTGGATTTTGGTGGATTTTGGTGGATTTTTTGTGGATTTTGGTGGATTTTTGTGGATTTTGGTGGATTTTTGTGGATTTTTGTGGATTTTGGTGGATTTTTTGTGGATTTTTGTGGATTTTTTGTGGATTTTGGTGGATTTTTGTGGATTTTTGTGGATGTGGGGGCTCTGACCGAGCAGCATGAGGGGCCTCCCGGACAGGGAGGTGTTCTCCAGGTGCAGAACCACGAGGCTGCTGCTGATGCGCAGAGCGCGCGCCACCAACGGCGCCGAGGGCTCCAGCAGGGGCGTGTTCCGGGCATCCAGGTACTGCAGGCAGCTGGTCTGGGGAGGGAAAAGGGATTTGGGGTGAGAAATGGGGGATTTGGGGTCATTGAAACCCATCCAGGTACTGCAGGCAGCTGGTCTGGGGGGGAAAATGGGGGATTTAGGATCACAAATAGGGGATTTGGGGTGAGAAATGGGGGATTTGGGACCATTGAAACCCATCCAGGTACTGCAGGCAGCTGGTCTGGGGAGGGAAAATGGGGATTTGGGGTCAGAAATGGGGGATTTGGGGTCAGAAATGGGGGATTTGGGGTCAGAAATGGGGGATTTGGGGTCATTGAAACCCACCCAGGTACTGCAGGCAGCTGGTCTGGGGAGGGAAAAGGGATTTAGGGGTGAGAAATGGGGGATTTGGGGTGAGAAATGGGGAATTTGGGGTCATTGAAACCAACCCCAGGTACTGCAGGCAGCTGGTCTGGGGTAAATAATGGGGTTTCAATAAAAAATGTGGGATTTGGGATAGAAAATGTGGGATTTGGGAGCAAAAGAATGGATTTGGGATAGAAAAGGTGGGATTTGGGATTGGGACAAAAGTGCCATTTAGGGTCGGGATTTGGGATTGTGGGATTGGGACACGGATCCAGAGGGATCCCAACTGCCCTGGGGAACTCTGAGCCAGGAAATTTGGGAAAACATCCCAGGATTCCCAGGAGAATTTGGGAATTTTGGGGACGGATCCGGGAGCAGAATTCCCAAACAAAGAATTCCCAAAGAATCCCTAAAAATTCCCCAAAAATTCCCCAAGAATTCCCAAAGAATCCCAGACAATCCCAAGGCCTCTGGAATTGCTGGGAGTGCCCCAAGGGAAGTGAGGGGGATGGGAAGGAACCGGAAATTCGGGCTCATCCCTGGGCTAATTGGGGTCATTTGCATAATTGGGATAATTGGGAGAGCAACAATCCGGCCTTTGTTTGGGTAATTAACCCTTTGTTGGCGCTAATTAGCCCAGGAAAGGCTTTGGTTCCACCCTTTTGCTTGGGAATCCCAGGAATTTGGGGAATTCCAGGAATAATTCCCAGGAATTTTGGGAATTTCAGGGAATTCCAGGGACAATTCCCAGGAATTTTGGGAATTCTCCCTTTCCTCACTGAGTGTGACCCACCCCTGCCCCTCCCAGGCACAAAAACCCCTCAGGAATGGCAGAAATTCCTTGGAATTCCAGGAATTTTGGGGGGAAAAAATTGGGGAATCCCAGGAATTTTTGGGGAAAAAACCTCAGGAGTTTTGGGAATTCCAGGGATAATTCCCAGGAATTTTGGGAATTCTCACCTTCATTATCACCTCTGTTGCCACCCACCCTCCCTGGGTATGGAAAACCTCAGGAACGCCAAAAATTTGGGGAAAAAGCTCAGGGATTCCGGGAAATTTGGGGAAAAAGCTCAGGGATTCCGGGAATTTTGGGGGAAAAGCCTCGGGCATTTTGGGAATGTTGGGAATTTTGGGAATTCTCACCTTCCTCATCATGTGAGCCGCCGCCTGCCAGCCGCGGGCCCCCAGGTGTTTGTTGGTGCTGATGTTGAGGTGCGTGGCCGACTCGTAGTACTCGATCATGTCAAACAGCGCCGAGGCTCCCTGGGAAACACAGGGGGGAAATATGGGGGAAATCAGGGGGAAAATATGGGGGAAATATGGGGGAAATATGGGGGAAAATATGGGGGAAAATATGGGGGAAAATCATGGGGGAATCAGGGGGGAAACATGGGGGAATCATGGGGAAAATCATGGGGGAATCAGGGGAAAACATGGGGGAATCAGGGGGAAAACATGGGGGAAAACAGGGGGAAAACAGGGGGGAAATCAGGAGGGAAATCATGGGGAAAAAATGGGGGAAAATCAGGGGGGAAAATGGGGGAAAACAGGGGGAAAACATGGGGGAATCAGGGGAAAACATGGGGGAAATCAGGGGAAAACATAGGGGAAACGGGAAAACATGGGGGAAATCAGGGGGGAAAATGGGGGAAAACATGGGGGAAATATGGGGGAAATATGGGGAAAAATGGGGGAAAGTCATGGGGAAAATGGGGGAAATCAGGGGGGAAACATGGGGGAAACAGGGGAAAAATGGGGGAAAACAGGGGAAAATATGGGGGAAACAGGGGGAAAACATGGGGGAATCAGGGGGAAAATCATGGGGAAAACAGGGGGGAAATGGGGGGAAATCATGGGGGAAATCAGGGGGGAAACATGGGGAAAACGGGGAAAAACAGGGGGAAAATCATGGGGGAAATCATGGGGAAAACAGGGGAAAATCATGGGGAAAACCAGGGGGAAAAATGGGGAAAACCATGGGGAAAACAGGGGGAAAAACATGGGGGAAAACATGGGGAAAATCAGGGGGGAAAATCAGGGGGAAAATCAGGGGGAAAATCAGGGGGGAAACAGGAAAATCATGGACAAAATGGGGGAAAATAATGGGGAAAACAGGGGGAAAAACATGGGGAAAACAGGAGGAAAAACAGGGGAAAACATGGGGGAAATCATGGGGAAATCATGGGGAAAAACAGGGGAAAATCATGGGGAAACTCATGGGGAAAACGGGGGAAACACATGGGAAAAAACAGGGGAAAAACAGGGGAAAGTCAGGAAAAAGTGATGGGAAAAGTCAGGGAAAAATCATGGGAAAAGTCAGGGAAAATGATGGAAAAGTCATGGGGAAATCACAGGGAAATCATTGAAAAAATAATGGAAAAATCCCACAAAAATCCAGGAAAAAGCCCAGGGAAACCCTGGAAAAAAAACCTGGGAAAACTCTGCAAAGACCCCGGAAAAATTCTGGGAAAATCCCTGAAAAATCCCAGGAAAAACCTGAGAAACTCCAAGAAAAATCCCAAGAAAAAATCCCAGAAAAATCCTGGGAAAATCCTGGGAAAATCCTGGAAAATCCAGGAGCTTTGCAGGAAGCAGCCAAAGGAAAAGAGGCAGAGGAAAATAAGAGCAGGAAAATCCCAAAAACACTAAAAATCTGGGATGGAGCTGGGCTGGAATTCCTGAAAATTCCCCAAAAAATTCCCCAAAAATTCCCAAAAAATTCCCCCCCCCCAAAAAATTCCCCCCCCCAAAATTCAAAAAAATCCCCAAAAAATCCCCAAATTTTCCCAAAAAAATTCCTCAAAAAATCCCCAAATATGCCAAAAAAATTCCAAAAAATTCCCCAAAATTCCCCCTAAAAATCCCCCCCGCATTCACTCACGTCCTCGTCCAGGCTGGTTTGCTCCAGGTCGAGCAGTTTGAACTGGAGCCGCTTGAAAATCTCCTCCATGGCCTCGCAGGAGCGGTAATCCAGCTTCTCTCCTGGAAAATCCAGGGAAAATCATGGGGAAATCCTGGGAATTCATGGGGAAATTAATGGGGAAATTCATGGGAGAAATCCTGGGAATTCATGGGAAAAATCCTGGGGAATTCATGGGAAAATTCATGGGAAAAATCCTGGGAAAATTAATGGGAAAAATCCTGGGAAATTCATGGGGAATTCATGGGGAATTAAAGGGAAATTCATGGGGAATCCATGGGAAAATTCCGGGGAATTCCTGGGAAAATTCCAGGGAAATTAATGGGAAAATCATGGGGAAAATCCATGGGAAATTCATGGGAAATTCATGGGAAATTGATGGGAAAATTAATGGGAAAATCATGGGGAAAATCCATGGGAAATCAATGGGAAATTAATGGGAAATTCATGGGAAAAGTCATGGGAAATCCATGGGGAATTCATGGGGAATTCATGGAAAAATTCCTGGGAAATCTCCGGGAAAATTCCCAGGAAAATCCTGGAAAAATTCCTGGGAAATTCCCCTCTGGAAAAGGCTGGGCTGAAGTGGCCTCACCCTTGAGATCC